ACCGAAACTAACTAAATGTTGAAATTGGTGTTGTATTTTTTTTGTTAATAATTTTCTCATGTTCTTTTATGAAATTTATATTCAATGAAATTAAATATTATGAGAAAGAATTTGATATTTTAAAAAGGTTTTTTTGCATTAGTTTTATCAATTTCTCAATGCTTTTTTAATATATAAAGTTTCAAAATAAAATATAAATAATTGTAATAAGCAATAACTCGTATAGTGCGACTTTTATCAGTACAGATTCACTATAGTACGGTTTCAACAATTCAATTTGTATGCAGTTTTAAAGTCCTCGATTTATCCGGTTTCAAACGGTGTGGCATATTGGACTACTCATATAACAGAACCGATGTCAATATCCCGGATTATTAGAGACCGCACTAATCGAAGAACAAAATAAAATAGATTAAAAACGCACAATAAGAGTCTTGATTGGACACACGTCTATTTTATGTAAAAAAAATTCACACACAATAAATAATTACACTTAGAATATATTTATTGAATAAAATTATGTTAATAGCTTTGCAAAATTACAGTATTTATTAAGGAAATTACATATTTGATTAACTATTCATATTTATAAATGAATATTTAATAAAACATTATAAACCATAATTTCTTTCATTTTTTTAATAATTATTAAAATTTAAACAAACAAATTATGAAAAAACTAATATTTCAATAAAATGATTTACAAACTTTACTTCTTATTTTATTACAAAAATAAAGGGTTAATTGTAAGAATATGGAAAGAAACGTTAGATTTGTGTTAATAAATATGTATATTATTGCTATAAATAATCAGTAAGTGAACTATAGTTCATTACTCTTTATTGAAATTGCGCTAGATGATCTACTTTCAATCTTATATAATTGAACGTGTATTATCTTTTTATATTTTATTAATAAATTCAATCGCTATGTTAAATAATCATAAAATGTACATACCTGAGAAGAAAAGCGACAATTCCTGTATGTAATGTGCAAATATGTGAATCTCTTGAGCGACTGGAGCACTACAGTGGGATCTTTCTCGCGCTCATCCTTTTTCACAAAGACTGAAAACGGAAATAGAAGCAAATAAAGCCTATTACTTTATTGTAATTCTACCGTGAAATCCACACACACACGTGTGGGGGAATTCTCTTAAGATCACTATCATACACTGAAGCTCTCTCAGTGAAAAACACTTTCTAGTCTTGAGTTTTCGATCAAAGATCACTCAATGAAAGAAAGGATCTCTTCCGGAATTCTTTACATAGTCAGTCACCGGAAAGCGAAGAATAACATTCCATTGTTTGAAAAAATACTCCTTCAACGCAATAATAATTCAAATAAATTAGCAAATTCTATTGCTGCAACTTCGCTGTGAGCACACAACTCACGTGTTACTAAAAAAAATTGGAAATAATCTTGCTTGAAATTACAACAAAAAAATACACGATATTCCAACATTAAACATAATATGCGAGCAGCGTTACGCATTTGGAAATATGTAAAATAATTGAACGTAATCGTTAGGTAATGTGTAAATTAGGAAGATTCGGTGCGTTATTTAATGCGCTTTCACCAAACCAAATGGGAAGCAAAACATGTGTCATCTTCGCACGTTCGACGCGCGCCGTTTTCAGCTCTTTATGTAACCGATTTCCTCGAGGAAGTTCTTCAGCTTTGCGGTGTGTACGTGCGTTTGGTCATTCATCGCATAATTTATACATATTCCTTCCTCAATTTATTGTTTAATTAATCTTTTTTTTTCTGCTTGTTTCAGGTATGTCTTATGTGGATAATTATCAGGTTGCGGGTGAACATGCGCAAATTACTTCTTGTACTTTTCATTTGGTAAGTGCGTTGATATTAAGCTAATTGAATGCAATTAAATTTGCTAATGACGTTGCGGAAATTGGAAAAAAAGTGTACTTCTTAATCGTGCAATTAAAGATGTTTAAAAAATCTTCCGTTACTAAGAAATTATTTCAATATAATTTCTTTCATAAATCATTTTCTAAATACTATACATATTCCGTTTTAATAATTATAACAATATATTTGAACTAATTTTGATTTTAATAAAAAAAATTAATAATAATGATAATTATAAAAAAAATCATTTGTTACGCAAAAAAAATAATGAATATTAAATGCAATATTCTTAATTAGTTTTATTGTACATATCAGTGTTTTTATTGAGAAGTCAACTATACAACTCTTGATGTCATGGATTATTAACTAAGAGTTACATTCTCTTCTTAAGTTAAAAATTAAGAAGTAAGTGCTCTTCCCTAGACTCGCCAAGTGAGACCATGTTCTCACTTCGACCCTTCAACTAAGACTATCTTCTTCGTGACTAAATGATATAATACAAAAATGTGTCCATTTCAAAACAAGGCTGTGTGGGAAAGGAAATCAGTTTTGATCTTGTGGAAATTGCAACAGTTTCTTTATCTAAGTTTTATGATTCTACCCAAATATTTAAGGGTGGAAGAAGGGTGTTGAGTGTTGATAAAATAGACGCAACTAAACGATTTAATGTTTAACCGTTCTTCGGAATATTACACAAGTTATTCTAAATAAACACGTTCAAGTATCCATTTGTATATTTAATGGATACGTGAAATATGATATATAATAATTAAGGAAAGGAAAGTGGTAGATCTAACAAATATACATATTCATAATACAATACATGATTGCCAATTATATGTTTCTTATAATAAAGAAATAATGATAATCTCAAAAGACCAAAATAGAGACTTTAAAATAGGATATTTTGGTTCAAGATTTTGAAATAACTCATAGAAAATATGTCTTTCAAAATTTTATGTGGCGCCATTATTAACATACTTTCTCCAAAGGAAATTGAATCAACATTGAAGAATTTTAGTGATTTTTGTTATCTACAATAATGGATTTTGATTATTCATACATTTTCTAATGAAGAAATAAGTTTTAATAATTATTATAATTTTTTCCACAAAAATAAGATTTGTCAATATTCCAATGACACAACTTTCTCAATATACAAGTAATTCATTAATTATTAACATTTTTGTTATAAACCATCAAGTTTTTTAATTCGATTTTTTTATTATCTAAAAGAAATGAATTTAAGTATACTTTAACATCCTGCTATTTATTGGATTTAACAATTATCTTAATGTTATTTAATCAACCAGGTTGGAGCTATTGGCGATTTAAACAATATGATATAGATATGAACGGGTTTATATCGCAAGGCCGACAACCGAAAGACCGTCTATTGAAATCCCGACGTTCGAAATCCCGAGTGTATCGAAATCTCGAAGTTCGAAATCCTGTATTAAAATCCCGACGCTTAAAATCCCTACTATGTCAAAATCTCGACGTTCCAAATCCCGACAATCAAAATCCCGACTATATCGAAATCCCGACTACCATAAAAATGTTATTGTAGAAATTTATAATAATACAAATGTCATACAAAAGAGACTGTCGGGATTTCAATATAGTCGGGATTTTGATTGTCGGGATTATGGTAGTCGGGATTTTGACATAGTCGGGATTTCGATACACTCGGGATTTCGAACGTCGGGATTTTGACATAGTTGGGATTTGGAACGTCGGCATTTTGAGCCAGACGGGATTTCGGTTGTCGGGCTTGCGATTGCCACCAGATATGAACATATTGACGTTTGTATACGTATGCCACCTTATGTACATGTTTGTGAATCGTGTGCTTATATTACCTGGCGCATCCACCAACTATCAATCATAAGTATAATACAATCGATAATGTATCAATTTAATTTAATATGAGGGTAATTCATAGTTTATCATCAATGTTATTGAAAGTTCTAACTAAATCTTAAACTAACTATTATAATATCCTACATTATAATAGGTTATCAAACTATTTTTTTTTATTCTTAAAGAAAACTCTTGAAAACTTATCGAAACTACCGCAGTTTTTTGCATTTATATTTTTTTAATACCTATTTAATTAGAATTACCAAACTTTATGTCAACAAAAAATGATTAAAATTAAGCTTTTTCCTTTCATCTAAAAACCATGTGCATATCTGGTTACAAACATTTACTTTTCAGTTGATTATTTGTGGTTCGTAAAATGATGTTCTATGTTTATCGATTCGACTCTTGTCATTTTGTTACCCATTGCAATTGACAGCTGTCAATTAAAACAATCCAGTTTTGGGTGCAACCCATAAACGCTGCAGAATAAAATTGAATAGAAAACACAATTTAAACAAACATAAATTTATTGCAGTAGGTTTTGTTGATTACTGTCCTCATAATAATAAAATTATACATAAATAATATACAAACTATTGACTTTCATTCTGGATTGTTAAATAAATATTACGAACGATCAACTATTATGGTATTACTTTTGCAGACTAGCTGAACGAAGCATATTTATATAACACTTTAGTTATAATTGCATGAAACATACAAAAAAAGTAGATAACGTTTTAAATTATATCTAATATACTACAAAACTGTACTAAATTTTATGTAGGTTTCTTTTTTTTTATTATTGTAATTTATATAAACAAAATGTTGTAACAAAATTAATAATAAACTCTATTTACTTAACATAAACATAACAAATACTATTATTATAAGCAATACATAATATTCGAATATAAATAAACTGAGCAATTACTTCGGTGTTGGCAACAAATATAATTTAATAGACTATGTACAAACAGATAGACAAAAATAATAAAGAAAATCAATAGTAATCTACGCTATATACAACTAAGTAACTAGAGAACTGAAAAGCTATATAATAATTAAAAAAGTAATAACATTCAACAATTAAATATGAAGATACACGAAGTATATAGTCATGAACATTTAACGTTCTGATTAAACGTTTTTTTCTGGAGTAAAAGAAAATAGAAAACAGATATAAATAATTCTTAGAAATAAAAAAAAAATAACGTTGAAAATAATGTATGTTTTTGTTCTTATTAGTGTTAATTTGGTGTGTCAATTCTGCTGACTAGATTATTTGAATTGTTGTATTGTTTCGCGATTGTTATACAATCGTTTCATTATAACGAGCTTCCCGTTTCCTCCTGTACTGTATCGGAGTTAACCAATATTCCTTAATCAGATCCGCTCCTTTCTCCCCGATCATAATGACCGGAGCATTGATATTTCCACTGGTTATTGTCGGCATAATGCTGGCGTCGATTACTCGAAGTCCGGATACACCGTACACTCTTAATTGGGGATCAACGACGGCGTAAGGATCGCTGGGTGGGCCCATCTTCGCGGTGCAAGAGTAATGATATATGGATAAAGTGTATTGCCTCACGGCGCAATCCCAATACTCGTCTGTGAATGGCGGAAGATGCTTACAATTTGGAAGTAAAGTTCTATGTAAACGGGCTCCGAAGCGTTTCATCGCCGTCGTTTCACCAACGGCTAACGAAGCCTTCACGCCTTCCCTGAGAACGGCGACGTCGTGTGGATCCGTCAGGTAGTTGTGGTACATGAGGGGATATTCCATGGGATCTTTTGATTTTAATTTAATTAATCCACGTGATTTGGGCCTCAACATCATTGGGAACATGCCGAACTGATCACGGTAATTAATGCTTTCGAAGACTTCTTTATAAAACTCATCATCTAATCCGTGCGCTTGCTTCACTTGGGTGCCCCCATCGGCGCTCGTCGATGTCGACAACATCATCAATTCCATATCGGGCCAATCGTCCGATTGGTTTGCGTACTTTGTCGAAATGAATCCTACGGTTTCTATGCCAACGCTCGAGGCTAATGGGCCGTCCTCTTTGATGGCGTACCGAATTGCCGTGTTGCTGTTAATCAATCTTGATGTGAGCAGAGAGATCGGTTCGTCGATCAAAAACGTTAATCCGCCGACTGCGATGTGATCCTGCAAATTTTGCCCGACGCCCGGCGAATCGTGCACAACGTTAATGCCAACTTCCTGCAAATGTTTTCGCGGTCCGATGCCGCTGAGCATCAGGAGTTGCGGGGAGTTTATGGCGCCTCCGGAGAGTATGACTTCTTTCCTCGCGTTAACAGTATAGATGGTACCATCTTTGACGAATTCGACTCCTGTTGCTCGACGCGTCGCAGGATCTATGTTTACTTTGGTGACGTGCGACCAGAGGGATATGTGCAGATTCTTTCGTAGACGGATTGGTCTCAGGAATGCTTTGGCTGTGCTGCATCTTGATCCACGACGCATTGTGTATTGGAAGAGAGCAAAGCCTGTTTGTTGATCGCCGTTTACGTCACGAATATCGTATCCCATTTCCTGAGCTGCTTGCAAATATGCAATACCGATTGGAGTGTTGTATGGATTATCCTGAACGGTTAAATAACCACCTACAAAGAAAATAATACATATTACTGAAATATTCAGATTGTACTTAATATTGTGATATTTAAATGGTAAATTAATGATTTGCTTCTGAGCTATATGTTTTATAGACTTTTGATAAATAAAAGGTAAATCTCATACAACACGATATTCCTATAACTCAGTTTTGTGCTAACACGGTTTGAGTATTATATAAGGAATTTCTTCAATAAATGTTTGCAACATATATGACGTCTGATATAAAGAAGTATATTCTAGAGCAGCGTTTCTCAAGCTTTTAGTCACGTAACCCACCATATTAGTTTGTAGTTGTACAGCTTTGACACAAGTTGACAGCTGTCATTTTTTTTGAAATCCGTAAAACTTGGAAATCAAGTTTCTATGGACCAATGTTAAGCATAACATATTATTATGAAGAGACAGAGATAATTCTATGACATTCAGTAAATGAAAAAGATCAGACGATTACCATACTATATCACCAAAATGTGCAGATACTAAACTTATACTAAATATGAAAATTGATTTTGATCGATTTCCAAATTACCTGTAGCGTGATGTCTTGAGTCTTTGGCTAAGTAAGGATTCCTCTGATCCTGGCTTTTCTTGAAGTAAGGTAGAACTTCATCGAAACTCCAACCTTCGTTACCGAAACTCGCCCACTGATCGTAGTCCCTCCGATTTCCTCTTATGTATAGCATAGTGTTCAGAACACTAGACCCACCGAGTACTTTCCCTCTGGTCCAACTGCACCTCTTGTCCTTCATCGCTTGGCATGCCGAGTCCTGAGGCTGCGGTCTACCGAAATAGAAAAACAAACATTACATTCCTTCTTTCAATTACAATATAAAACGCAATCAAGATTATACCTGTAACCCCAATCAACTCTACTTTTGTGCAGATACAAACTGAGGATCGGCACATCCGTGACTTCCGTCTCGTGTCCTCCGGCTTCCAAAAGCAGAATCTTCCAATCGGAGATCTCGCTAAGCCTGTTAGCGAGAACGGATCCCGCTGATCCTCCGCCGACGATTACGAAATCGTACTCGGCGTCCACTTTCTTCACAGAAACCGGTCGATTTTCGGGATCGAACTGATCGTAATGGAAGTAAGCGATCGAGGCGATCAAAAACGGAAGTACGGACACTTTCCCAACGCCGACCAAAGCGGTGGCGGCTTTTATGGCCGCAAGAATGCCAGTGATCACAGCCATATTATTTTAAGAAGTACGTAGCGTAGTAAAGGGTCTCGAACACGACGCAAGTTGCAAATAAATGAATGCAAATCGAAAGGACGTCTCGGCCTTGCGCAATGCCAACTGCATACATTGTATTCCTTTGTCAATCGATTATAAAATGGATCTAAACTTTCATTTGCGTAAAAAGAAAGTTTTCGTTTTTTAATTGATATTCGTTTTTCCTTCCTCTAAGACGTAAATATTCTACTGTACTTTTCGCAAATAATCATGGAATGCGCAATGAAAAGTCTAATTTCTTCGTACAAATCTTTTACCAAATATTTTACATTATTTTCCATCTTTACACATTAAGATCCATTTGACTCTCTTTAAAAAAAACTTCTATTTTTTAATACTTTCACTTTTTGATGTTTTACAAAATCTTCTTCTATTAACCAATACAACTCGATATGACAAATGATTTTTAATTGAAATTCACTAATCGTCTGTCCGTAGAATTATTTACTGCGTTTCGGGTATTTCGTAATGAAAACTTTCTCTTCATCCGTGTCTTCACGTGTTAGCGCTTAAGATCCGTTTTCTCGACTTGGTATTGCTTATTTTCACCTGTCCTCTGCTCCCAAATTCGCTACAATTTCAACCTGTAACATAAACAATCATAAATTAAATATTCATTCGAAAATAATAACATAAATTTATTAAAACATAAAATCGATGAGCACATTAGAAATTGTCCACTTTCTAAGCTCCAAACGAATGCAACTTGCGCAATCGTGGTGTGATTCAAGAAAAATATATCAATGGTTTAGATTTAGCAGATATTGCGTAAAGTTTATTTGCATACGCGGAATTTCTAAAAGACTCTTCACATATCCTCACACACAACTTATGTAATTTCTATGCATAAATATGCAATTCATATGAATGATTAAATACATTTTTTTTTAATATTTAATATAAAAATAGAAATTTTTGTAATTTTCAATATTTATTTAAAAAAATGTCCGAATTTGTTTTATTGCCTACATGTGTTATTACGGTCAAAACTAACGTAGTTATTCCACTTTCATTCCCATTTAATATAATTTAATTGTCTACAGTTTTTCTTGTTTCTTCTCGTAATATATGAAAATTTCGATTTTCTAAAATACTTTTCCATGTAGAAATTTACATTACGTTAATAACAAATAATTAACAAACAGCTGGACTTTCCACGTTCTGACCATGATCGATTTATTGTACATTCTATTTCGTTGACCGCAATATAATAAGAAATATTTATATTATTCTAAACTAAAATTAATTAATTTAAAAATGTATTTTTGTAAAAAAAATATTCTTTAATAACATCTTAATGTTTCGAATGATGTAAATCTGCATGTTGCAGGTCAATATACTTTAGATTTCAGATAAAAATATATTTTTATAACGTATTATACATGATAAATTTCTTTACTGTTTTTTTTTACGTTACGGCTATAATTTCATGGGACTTTTACCAGAGACAAGTGGAAATGATCCGGTGAAAGAAGAAAGATTTGCTCTTGGAGAAAGGTCGAGTGACTGTTTTCGGCAGATTTATATACTCGTCCGTCTGCGGTCAACCGTGAATTGTTGTAGGTTTCAAGTAACAACATGCAATTAAAACGAATGTAAAATGAATTCAACGTCTGTTTTATAAAAGTTTGTTTTATATATGTTAACGAGACAATAGAGGTGTGTGCTTGTTAAAAGTACTCATGTTTCTTGATGTTTATCATGGTGTTTGAGAAATTTGCTAATAGAGAAAGGATAATTTTCATCAGATTTATGTTGATTATTAACTGTAAATTGTGTAGGTTTTTGGAAATTGAAAAATAATATATTTTTTTATAGTGTTTGGTTTCGACATTATCCCTGTTTCAAACCGGACTAATCGAAGATCTAAGTAGAAAAAATTGCACAAAAGAGACTTAACTTTACAAAAAGTAAAGGAAAAAATGATGTATTGTGTATATTTTTTTCTATTAAAATTTAGTTTATTTTTACAAATCTGACTATAGTGAATCCGGATTGATGTATTCATGATTTTTTGATGATTATCATGATATCTTAGTATAGAGAAAGGTCTAGTTTAAATCCTTTTTTAATATGAACCACAAACCAAACATGCTTATAAATGCATAAAATTAATCACATTCACCATGATATAAGCATATTCATGATTAATTTGCATATTGCATCACAATATGAATAAATAAAATTTACTTATTATAAATTCTTATTCAATCAACTTAAACTTGTAACTAGTTTTTTTTTTAAATCGCACATGCAGCTTTAATTCGAATATTTTCATTATTAGTATTTTACTCAATGTAGACAACATCTGTTTATACAAATGACTTTATTAAAACTCTCTAAGTTATTTTGTAGTTAAGATTTCACGATTTAGTTGAGAACATATCTTTATATTAAAATTATAATTACATATTTATTAATAGTTTCTAAATTCCATAAATGTTTGTAAAAAAATATCTACTAAATTATTGACCATACATTCCTCAATTCGTCTATTCTGCTTAGTTCGTTTTATAAAGTTTTTTATTAATTATAAATGGTGTAAGGTGTTCATTGCTTAACTTGTAAACAGAAGCGAGGATGCGAAACCTTACTAATAATTTCTCTTGTTTTGTCCTGAAGAATTCTGGTAATGTTTACTTTATCTCACTTCAATATCTGCATGTTCTTGTTAATCTGTTATATAAATTATGTGTTAATCAATATTTTATTCAACTTTAAAGTCTACTTCCAGTTCTACTCTTGTATATATATTCAATGACTTCAGTTGTAAAACTTCTAGTATAAGAATAGAATTTTTCATTAAAATTAATTAGATCATTATTTGTTTCGCTTAACTTCTTATATTCATTTATACCGCTATATTTACTGAAGCTTCAAGTGAACTTTTTTTTTGGTTGTAGAAACCTAATTATTTTTAACATTATATGAATTATAACCGTTGATACTATATAAAGTATGAATACAGTTTTCCAATATACATCAAAACCGTAAAATATTTATCAATTTGAAACATTCACTGAAAATTTTGATTCTTTGATAATTCAGTAATTTAATAATTCGTAGTTAGTTATAGTTGATAGTAGAAATACTTCGAAATGAAATAAATAATGTAAGAACAGCCAACTCTTGAATAACACGGTTTATTGATTTCGTGATACCAAAACCGTATAATTCGGTTACAATTTTTTATTTTAAGAGATGTTCTTAACTGTACAAAAATTTGCTCAACGATTAAGAATTGTGAAAATCTATACTTTATAATAATCGTGTAATTGAAATAAGTTGAAATTTTGACCGTATTATTCGAGACCAAATTCCGTGTTATTTGAGACTCCAATAGCGTCTCATTCAATGATGAGATTTTATCATAATTAATTGATAACAAGACAGCTTTATTACATTTAATGATGTATTACTTTTGTTTTGAAATTACCCAATACATTGTATAATGGAACAAAAGTTCTTTTATAAAAAAATAATTTACACCAGTCAACGTTTATAGTTTTCTTGAACTTGAAATCTCTTTTGACTACATTACGAAATTGAGAAGTAAATGAGAACGGTCATTAAGTCAAAATACTGTTAGATTTAATTAAGATGAATTTTGACAAAACCAGTATGTAAAATATAGGAGTAACTATGGAAACAATAACAAGTGGAATTGAATGTATAATACGACATCTATCAATTTGACGCATATTTTAAAATTTGTTATAGTTTCTCTAATATTTCAAGAATTTATTTATAAATGTATTTTAAGTAATTGATATAAATTTGGTTTTATTAATATCCCGCACTGTTGATGAGTCAATATTGAAATTTTTGTACTCGAATATAATACGCACTCATACGATTTTTTACATTTCTCCAATAGTTCTTGAGATTTTACTGCATTTATAATTCAAAAGAAACAATATAAATTATGATGTATTTTTTTTAGTATATATAAGAAATGAATTTGTATGTATTAACTAATGTGTTAGATAAGAGTTTGCAATTGGTATTTACCTTTCGCTAGTAATTATTCCACTTTGTGAACTGAGATTGCACGGAACACGTACAATTTCCTATTTGGTAGTTACTTCCGTTTGCATTACATACACACAGATTACAAGGTGTACGTAATTATCGTCGGTTCGGTTCGGAACTCGGTTATCTTTGGGCAACCGGAGTACAACTAACTGGAGACTCCAGTACACGCACACATTATAGAAATTCCCGGAGAAAGTGCTCCTTCTCTCATACTTTTTTTCATTCCACCAACGACGAGACGTTTATAACGAGAACGCCGAAACCTCGCTATTTATCTTCTTTAACCCAATCATAACTCCGAATATGTCATCATTGATTGAATCAAATCAAATGATAATCAATTAGTTTGCAACACGAATCAAATTATCCTTTTATTACTTTATTCACAGTACCAATCAAATTATTGCAAATTAGCGCGGCTTAATTGATTATAATTACAATAAAATGTGCTGGTTAATTACAAGATGTAATCAACTGCAATCGATGTTTCTATATTCGAAGAATGTCATAATTCATTTTTCTCTCTAATTGCTCCCTTACTAATTAATTTAAACAGTTATCGTTAATTTGCAATACAATTATAATACAATAATACCTCGCATAGTCCGGATAATAGCACTTGTTTGAATCCGGATTAATCGAGGAACTAAGTACAAACCGCACAAAAAGAGACTTTTAATCCGGACTGATCGAAATCGTACTATTGTAAGGTATTATTGTATCTATATATATAATACGTTAATTTCATGCATATTATTTAATCATAAAATGGTAAACGTTCATGAAAATAATTCAACTTTCTTGTAACCTTTATGAGCACTGCCTGGCACACATTTTCATAATGATGGATCGATTAAATAAGTATGCAATAGGATGATGAAGAAACTACGGTGATCAGCGATACTGCAATACTGGCCTATTTATATTCTAAGAAAATCATTTTCTCTTAATTTCAAATTGTTATTTAAGTAAATTTAATTTACCTACATTAACACTGTTAATAGTCATAAAATTATAAATCAATATTTGATTTAAATTTGTCATCACAATGTGCCAATGTTGTAATTCATGTATATCTAGTCTAGTTTGCAATTTACTATTTTAGATATAATCATACCTCGATTAACGAATTTTTTGTTAATTTTCGGTTGTTAACATTTTATCTTAATTTTCTTTATCTTCTGCATTCATCGACATTTTCGAAATCCATTGGTTCAATCAATAAGTTAATTTCTTTGATGTTATTTTCTTATTGCTTTACAAAAACTATTAATGTTTTCGGACTTCGTTATATTGAACCATCGTTATTAGAGGTAATGCCTTTACTTTGCATTTATACATATGCTTATCATCACTGTCACAATTTTTTATTTATATTATGAATTCGAAAAGTGGTATAGAAATAAATTTAATTTGGTGACAGAAATTCAGATGTGAGCATAATTTCAATATGCAACTTGAAAAGAGAAATAAAATATTTTGAATACTGGATCAAGAAATTTTGAAAACGATATAAAATAGACTTACGACAACTTTTTAATGATGGAAAAGGCAGTAACTTTTAGAAATATGACAGATGGATAATGTAAAATATCTGGATCATACCTAGACGAAGCGAAAGCAGTTGTGACTTAAGCTAAGATTTATAGAGCTATTCTAAAACCAATGTAATCTCATGGAAAAGTTTTATGGGGGATTTAGCGAGAAATCTCGTTTCCACATAAGATCTATAGAGTACTGTAACAATATGTTCTTAAACCTGTCGTCATTTAAACAATAAAATTGACAATTTATCATTATTATATTGTTTTTATAAATATTCATAGTTATTTTTACATTACTGATTCTATATATTATTATAAATTATGAAACTTTTTACAGAAAAATCATAAAAAAAAACTTTAATCATATTCTTATTGTAGTACAGTAGAAACATTTTTATGCGATTTTAGTTTTGTGCGATTTTTTTATGCGGTATATGAAATCCACTCAATTCCAACGTTGGCACCATTGTAATGTTTTCTATCAGTGTACATATGTACAGCCTACTCAAACGATTATGTTAGTCGATTTCGAACTTATTCATCACAAGAAGATGCGCTTTTTGGATTAACACAAGTAGCAGTGAATTATGTATGTGCATTTTGAAAAATATAGTGATTAAATGTTATTAATAATGACATAAACTTATAAAATATACAACTTAATGTTATATTATTATGCTGGGTATGAGATAACCGTTATATCATTAACAATTTAATCATTTTAAAAAAATACATTTTATTTGATGATTTTTAGTATATAATAACGTACTTTGACCTCTACACAATTAGCCAACATTTTTTTATCTGCACTTTCTCTTTGTTGATTAATTCAATTTTCTTGTAATTCCCATTAGAGTTTTACAATATTTTTTCTGATTGTCCAAATGGAAATAAAATGTCTTTAATTCTGTTGCAATTTACGATCATATAATTTATATTTTAACTGTATTGCTTTATATATAAACTAGTATAAGTTAAGACTATTTTTAATGAAGATTTCAGAAAGAAACAGACATATTTCAAACCATTATAAACAAAATCAAATTCATAAATAAAATGTAAAATATTGCAAAAAAATCAATTACAATTTATTGGAAGAAGAGTCGAGTAGATAGATAGTTCAATATACTTTATAGTGGATTCACTTTGATCTTTGTTCATTTAGATTTAATAGATAAAACGATGAAGGTTTTTTGATGATTAGTTTAATTTTCTTCTTAAACCTAACTAGTTTTGACTAGCCCGATAATTTACAAATTAAGTTATTAGTAATTAAGCAAATGTCATATTCTCATCAAGAGAAATTTACAATTTTGAAATATCTTCATTGCCATTGCATTTGTGTTCAACAATAGCTGCGTTTTATTAACGTTCATTTTCTATATTATTAACGTCGCGCGGTTTAGAATTATTTGGTAAAAAACAAGGAAGTTTGGACATTGCGAACAATGGAACGGTTTCCATTCCATTTACCTTTTACCGCGTCGTATCAAGGGCGCAAGGCTACGCCAACAATGCAACGTAAAGTGAAAGAGACATATTTGGTTTTCGAGTCTTACGACATTTCCTCGTACCATTTTCCCAGAATTATTATTTACATACATACACACACACAAAAATATATTTATAAATGGATGATGAATATTAAGTTTCTTCCTAATTGCACTTACGCAACGGCCAGAAAGCACGCAATGTACTTACGCTCTTATTTATCTAAGATTTTGAAACGTTAAGAAATTTTAAAGAAAGAAATTAATGGTGAAAGGAATCGAAATATTGTTTCATGTATGAGTCTAAATAATTTAATTACTATTAGAATTTTTGGTAACGGAACCGCGTGGTAAAAAGAATGCGCCTTCGGGTGCGATCTGTGTGTCTACGTGCTGGGATGGCTGTTTCCGTTAGTTACGTAACGTTAAGTATGGATTTGTACGACTATGTTAGTAGATTACGCAACTTGGGTGCGAATGTGGAAGAGAATACTGTATGTATATTGATGTTAGCTTTATATATATATACTTTTTTTATAACGGGGAAAGTCTCATCAATATACATTAGTTTTGTGTAAAAGAAATGCCAATCCTACCATAACAATTATTTATTTCGATGCAATTTTTACATATTTTTATAATCAATTTACACATTGAATCATTTTTAAACTTACTCAATATATCAACTTACTAATTTATAAAATATACTCTAAATTTTCTGTTAGTTATTATTCAACACTATATACAACCTATCGGCAACCTATTTCGAGAAAAGAGCCACTTGCTTCTTAAAAAAGTTTAGGGAGCCGCACGTAGCATTACAACCTCTATTTTTACCAGTAAAATGAATTTTTTGAACAAAACTACGTACCATTATGACAGTTGGGAGCCGCATTTGCTCAACTTCGCTAAATACTTATAATACTTATATATAATTAAAGATTTTTTAAGAAAAATCTATAATTATACTTTTTCGATAATTTTTCGAGAATAAAAATAAATTTAATAGATAAGTTGGTAAAATAATACTGGTAAAATACAAATTTTGTAACTACTTCAAAATTTGATCAGTTTCTATTATAATGATGCGAGGAGCAGTCGTGAGTAACTCCGAATTGGTCGCTTTCATATTGCGCAAGAGAAATTTCTTTTAGAGCATGCGATGTAGCGAAACACAATGCGAAGAAGCTTAAGCGAAATTGTTAATGATTCCAAAAGAAGTACTTAGCCAGTGAACAACAGAAGATATGTTGTAATAGTAGTATCTCGTGCAATTATAATTATCTCTATTTAAGCCTATTTCCAAAGCAAGGAAATAAACCGGTTCGAATCATAAAACAGTTCGTTTCATTTCGTTATTATAACAATTTTAATTCACTTTTTGTCATGTCTAGACGAATACTATATAAATTATGTTTTATAACCGTGAAAATCGTTAATTCAATTATTTTACCGAAAATATCTTGATTGTTTTCAATCCTATAACTTTCCGTTTCAAAATTATTTTACTTTAATGTTTTCATTAATTACTATTCATTATCAACGATTTTAAATTAAAATATTTGCAATATATTTACAATTCATATTATTTTCAACTTAATAATAGTAATAATATATAAAATATTATTTTTTGTATTTATTTACTATTTTTAATGATTTTGCTTTGGGCCAAAATGGAAATATTTATGAGTTTGAATGAATCGAACTTTTCAGTTGAAATATGTAAACGAAAGTAAGAATCATTCGATAACAAAGTACAAAAATGTTGGCTATTCTAATCGTAAAGACTACGCAAATCAATGATGTCAAAAGAAGAGTAAAATTATTAATATTTCATTTATAATCGTACTCAAACACTGAGTGAAATATTCTGAAAAAAAACTATGTTATTCCTTCATAAGTCGACATTTTTTTAACAATTCGATAAAGATACTGTTAAATTTGCATTCCTTCAATAATTCATGCTTTCTAATTTAATTAATAAAGAAATACTCATAATATAAAATTGAATAAAACTAAATTACAGTTTTAGTTGGAGTAATTTGTTAATTATATAAAGTAAACTTGATTAAGATGTTATTATTTCTAATAGAATTAAGAGCTTCATCCAATTTATTGTCTGAAAAAAAAAAGATTCTAATAAAAATACAAATTTCAGTATTTATTTATTTTTTTTTTCTTAAAGTTTTTGCCCCCATAGAGATAAAACTCTTAAGCATACATTTGACTATATTTATGTTAAAAGTTTAAAAATGCGTGTGCACTTGTACTAAATGTGTATGTCTTTTAATTGTTGTGAAATTGTGTAAAGGTAATTATTTAATTATTAATCTATTTGCTTACAAATTATTTTATTTTATCAATTGGATAACAGTGAAATAATAACTTTGTATGGGCAGAAATTCCTACGGTCAATACCTCTTTGTCGATTTAAGTGAATAACTGAATCAATTATTGAATGTTGAAATTGCTACAATAATAGATAATATTTACAGTTGTTGTATAATAGAAATATGAGGGAGAAACTGTTTTTTTTTATGAAGTTAACAGCTTGTACTATTTAGCATATTACCTACGATGTTTTTGGATTCAATTATCACACGTGTTGGCAATGTGCCATGAGCTTAATCATCGAAGTAGTACGTTAATTCAGTCGCTGTTGAAATCGTAGAAAGTATTAATACGTTATAATCACCTTAATTGACGCAAGTTACAGGCATGCACAATCAATAAACAAACAAAAAAACACCACCAAAAGTGAACTAAATCCAAACATTCTATTCACATGCGGGTCATATCATAATGCAAATTTTCGGTTGACAAACATGCATGAATTATTATTATTATTATTATGGAATTAATTAATTTCACATATGGATTGTTTCATATGAAATGAATAGATTCATAGTAAATGTATTTAGTTTAATTTCAAAAGAAAATTTTAAAGTAGATATTATTTCAGAATTATATAATAACAGTGTAGTAAGTTTTTCTTTATACAATCTGGTTGACGATATTAAAAAAGTATTTTTATTTGATCTATAGTCCTTTATTTGCATATAAGTAGTTTATCTGAGATGATTTGACTTTTTTTTGTTAGTAGGAAACTTGTTGACTTATATAACATAACCATATTCTAAAGTCTTGCAGATTTCAGTGTAATGATTATCTGGAAAACTTTCCAATGCGTCGAAAACTGGACGATCCTTAATATTGCTTACAACATTTGGGCTCTAAAACCTTTCACTTGAAATTCTTTAATAAGCTTTCGTTTTAATTAATCTTACACATACGCCTTTCTGAGTTTATAAAATAATTATACATATCTTATTATATTGATTTCTATATATATATATATATCATATAGGTTTATATGGAAAAATTGTGACAATGTTTTTAAAATATTTTACCTAATTTACTATTGGTACATTTTCCTGGATGTTGATTAATGAGTGAACTTAGTTTTCCTTGTTGAGATCGATCAGGACCCATATGTTCTTGAGATCATTACTATTTATATTTATAATAAAACGAGCATACAAATCATTGCATCATTATTACCAATATTTCTGTAACAAAGTAATTAATTTTAAATGAAACTCAAGAGACGCAATACATAAACAATCAACACCTGAAGTGAATTTAAATTAATTATTATTAGTTTGGTAAATTTATTGATATTTTGTATTCGTACATTTCAACATATAGCAAATCGTCTGAAATCGCCAAAATAACAAGTTTATTTAAATTTTATTAATCGTTTTTCTTATGGCTATTTTACAATCATTATTTGTATAAATACTACATGGTTACATCTGAAATGAAACTAGTCCTTCGCAGAAAGTCGTCGAGTAATATAATTGCAATATTTGCGACTTACATAATATTTATATTAATTGTGATTATTAACGGTAAGAAATTGTTTTAAATATATATTTTGACAAAATTGATGTTTAATTAAATTGTAGTATATTTCACTGATAAAATAAGATAGTTGTATGCAGATAAAGTAAAGAAAAAGCCAGAGATTGCTAAATGGTTTTTGTGTTTTTAGGTGTTAAAAATGTCCTGTTTAGATTATGGCTGTAGCCCGAACAGCCTAGGGTCTAGTCATATTTTCATGCTTTTGATAAATGCGCTCTACACAAGTGAATGTGTCTTCAAAAATGACGACAAATATCCGCAGAGTTACCATCCTATCGATGGCGATGAATTCGATTACATAATAGTGGGCGCTGGATCAGCAGGGTCTACTCTGGCTGCCAGATTGGCGGAAACACCGTCACACACGATTCTACTGATCGAAGCTGGGAAACTTCCGTCACCTGGTTCCGAAATACCTGGTTTATTCTTCGGTGTACAAGAGACAGAAGAAGATTGGCAATATAAGACCAGAGGTAATGGTAAATCATGCGGAGCTTACGAGCACGGATGCAGATGGCCCAGAGGAAAGATGGTGGGAGGCTCCAGCGGAATGAACGCCATGCTCTACGTGCGAGGAAACAAGAGGGATTACGACGATTGGAAGAGCTATGGAAATCAGGGCTGGGGATACGAAGATGTCCTCAAATATTTTATCAAATCTGAGAATACCACCGCCCCAGAGTACATGAATGATACCAACCACGGCACTGAAGGTTACTTAACCACATCCTTATACAGCACCACCAGAAAAGTGAGGAATACTATAATAGAATCGGCCAAGGAATTGGGCCATCAGTTCAATCGTGACGAGCAACCTCTGGGGTATTACGAGAGTTTAGTTACCATCAAGAACGGGAAGCGTTGCAGCAGTGCCAAAGCCTATCTGGCCAACAAAAACTACAAAAACTTGTTCCTAGCTACAGGTGTCGAAGTAGAAAAAGTTAACTTCAACAGTCGATTGGAAGCCACCGGTGTGTTTCTTAATACCTTTCTTGAATTGAAGGTCAGGAAAGAAGTGATTCTATCAGCCGGCTCCGTGAACACGCCAATCATCTTGGCAAATTCCGAGATAGGTCCTGAGGAGGAACTAGGAGATGTTCTATCAAATGTTCCAGTGGGAAAGAATTTGCAAGACCACCCGTTCGTCGGTGTCTTCGTACAGCTCAACGACAGCGTTGCCGATCGCTTCAATGAGATGCATGAAATTCACACGTACTTCACAAACTTAACTGGTATATTGTCCAATGTCGACGTGGCCAACATCATCGGTTTCATAAATACGAAGAACAACTCTGAGTACCCGAACATACAAATGATGCATTTGTTTTTCCCCAAATACGATTCAATCGGTCTACCGTTGATCTTAGAAAAGATTGGTTTCAATGATGATTCTCGAGAAGACATTTTAAGAGTGAACGAGTTTAGGAACCTCCTATTCTTCATTCCAACGCTGCTGCAACCCAAATCCCGTGGTAAAATAACATTCAAACCATTCGGAATTCATCCGAATTATCTCAGCCATCCGGATGATGCGGAAGTCTTCATGGAAGCCATCCGTTACATCAAGAAACTGATGAAAACCAAGGCGATGAGGAAAGCGGGTGCCGAGATTTTGAAATATAATATGCCGAATTGCAATCAGCGGAAGACAAAAGGTTATTGGAATTGCTATATTTCCAATGTAGTTAATACTTTATACCATCCTGTTGGCACCTGTGCGATGGGACCTTCGAACTCTCCGGACAGCGTCGTGGATTACAAATTGAAAGTCAAAGGTGTCAATAGGTTGAGGATTGTGGATGCTAGTATTATGCCGAAGATCGTTAGTGGTAACACTAATGCTCCGTGTATTATGATTGCCGAGAAGGCGGCCGATTTGATCAAAGAAGATGCCAAAGTCATTGACGAGTGTAAACTAGATGATTGTACTGTATAGTCCCATGTTTAAATTAGATTTATTTCATAGTCATGTGTGTATTAGAATAGTCATTTTACCAATTAATTATTTACAAATTTTAACTATCGTTAATAAATATAAAACGAAATAAAAAAATCTATAAAATTATTATAATTTATTAATAATGCTTCAAAAATATTGGTTAATTCATATGATGAGGAAATAGTGTACATTATTGATAAATTGCCAAATTGCCATAGTAACAATAAATTACAAAAAGTCAGTAAATTTGATGTGTGTTTTGAGGGTATTTTGTGAAAATTAACAATGTTTGAAGAGCAATTAACAGGATTTTTGGGGCACGCACTTCTTCAGTTGATCAGCGTATTGTCATATTATAATTATGAGCTGGCGACAAATCAACATTTTCCAGATGACTTTGGTCCAATGCTGATAGAAGTAGGTTAAATGAAGCAAGTGTATAATATTGTAAAATTCCACGTACACTTTGCAGAATCCAAAACAAAATTTCGATTTTATAATAATTGGAGCCGGAACTTCGGGTTGTCTCATAGCAAACAGATTGTCAGAGGTGAAAGAATGGAACGTACTATTGTTGGAGGCGGGCACAGACCCAACTAGTACTGTAGAGGTAAATGCTTGTGGTAAATTTAAAGACTTTTCATGGCATGCAGAAAATTGTAGGTGCCAACATTCTTTGACCGCTTAAAAATGTCCGAAGAGGATTGGAAATTTAGTACAACTAAAGAGAAAAACGCGTGCTTGGGAATGTTGGATACCAGATGCAGATTGGTGGCTGGGAAGATGCTGGGTGGAGATACGGGTATTAGCCCGATGCATTACGAGAGAGCTTTTCCCGAAGATTTTACATGTTTCAACGAATCCATAACTTACGAAGAAGCTTTGGTACATTACAATAACATTGAGAACTTTGTGGGTATTGATAATGTGAGGGAACTTGGTACAGGCGGTGATTTAACAATAAGCAAGTTCGGCAATGAAGAGCACGTAAGGCAGCTCATTTACAATGCCGCCGAAGAATTGGAGTACACGAAAATATCAGCAGCGTTGCAGAATTTGGGATACTACGATGTCGATGGTTACATCAAATCCGGGTCTAGGAATCACTTTGCAAAAGCGTTCTTGGACACCACCAGGAACAGAAAGAATCTTTTTGTGGTGAGAAACGCCCTGGTTACCAAAATCATTGGCGATGAGATCGATAACCGTGTTCGTGGCGTCGAGGTTTACGTGGGTAAAACGAAATTGATCGTGAAATCGCGCATCGAAGTAATTCTCTCGGCCGGACCCATTAATTCAGCTAAACTTTTGCTATTAAGCGGCTTCGGGCCGAAGGAACAGCTGAAATATTTCAATATACCTCTGAAGGCGAACATCGCCGTTGGAAAAAATATGCAGGATCATATAGCCGTTCCCATTTTCATTAAGGTGAACAGCTCCACGGCAAACGAAACGGACTTTGCTGATGCTACCTACCAATTCCTGAAGTTACGTAAAGGACCGTTCACGCAGATTAACATACACGACTTGGTCGGCAGCATAAACACATGTCCATATCCCTCATCCAGAGGAAACATCAAAATTTATCATTATCACTTTTTTGAAAGTGATGGACTTCTAAGACCGTACTTAGAACATCGAGGATTCGTGGGGAAAATCATGAAGTCCATCATTAAAGCAAACACCCAATCTCAGCTGCTGGTAATGATTCCAACGCTGGTATTACCAAAATCTGTTGGTGAAGTTACGCTGCAGAGTCCTTGTCCTTTTGACGCACCAAAAATACAAGGCAATTATTTATCCGAAGAAGACGACTTGGAATCGCTAACTTGTGCCTTCGTCTTCGTGGAAAGATTGTTGAAAACTAAAGCGTTATCTGAAATAGATGCTAACTTTCTACATGTTGATATACCCAACTGCAGAAGCTACAAAGTCGGAACTTTGGGTTACATTAAATGCTACATTGAGAACATGGGAATGCCGCTTTCGCATATTTCCGGTACGGTTCAGTACGGTAATTGCAGCAATTGCGATGCTTGCGTCGATGATAAAATGAGGATTAGGGGTATCAGGCATTTGCGAGTCGTGGATGCAAGTGTAATTCCAAAAAGTATTTCTCAGAGTTTAGAAGCTACTGTAGCTATGTTGGCAGATAGAGCAGCTGCAGATATTTTAAGAACTTGGGGAAAATGAATTACATCACATCGCATTTCTTTTAACAAATTTTCTGTAATTTGAAATCAATTTTATAAAAACGTATGCAACCAAATATACATTTAATTCAAACACTACACTTCTTAAAATGTAGTATACAAAATATCAAATAACAACAAACTGTGATTTTAATTTTAAATTTTACATTAAAAAAAACTTCAAATGCTGAATATATACAGCATGTGAATATGTGATTTATTAGAAACTTGTATTATTTTAAAATGATTACCAATAGTCCAAATTTATCCATTTCTTTGGTATTTCTTGCATAACAATATTTGGGTCCGGTATGGTAGAAATGTCTTTTCTTTCTTCTTTATTTCCTTCATCTGTGGGTTTATTTAAAGTTGCAGTCTTCAGTTTACTATCTTCTTTATTATTGTTATCCTTGTAATTGGGGCGATAATGTAATCGGCCCCAATCCTCTTTCACCATATCAGCAGTTTTCTCGGCTATCATAATTGTTGGAGCGTTCGTATTTCCCGTGACAATAGTAGGCATGATGGATGCGTCCACTACCCTAAGATTGTATACACCACGAACTCGTAATCTAGAGTCCACAACCGCGTACTTATCGTGATCAGGCCCCATTTTACAAGTTCCTAAACAAATAGTATAATTAGCAAAAGATGCTTTGGTAAAAACGAAATTAAGTGAATGTACCAACTGGATGGTAAATAGTTAAGGTGTAGTGTCTGGCTTGACATCCCCAGTAGTCATCGGATAGAAACTCGTAGTTGCTGCAACCAGGAATCTTCAAAGTATTAAATCGAGAATTGTATTGTTTCATAATCGGAGTTTGCGATAACGCGTATCCAATTTTAGCTCCTTCCACCTGAATAACAAGAGAATAATCTCCATTTAATAAACATAAATAGCTTAGAAGAAAACATATTTTCTTATATAACTTACTAAAACAGCCAGATCATAGGGGTCTGAAAAGTAATTTGGATATATCAGAGGCGGCGTTTTGAACTTGTCATCTTGAAGTTTGATGTATCCGCGACTCTTGGGTCTCATCAATAACGGAATAATATTATAGGCGTCTTTGTACAAAATATTTTCGTACACCGCAGTGTAAAAGTCATCGGTTAGTCCAGCTACTCGCTTACTGAACACTCCACCATCTGTGTTTTCTGCGTACGACGCGAAGAACAACTGCACGTCCGGCCAATCTTCGGATCTATTCTGGTAATAACTGTTGACGAAGGCCATCACCTCGACTTCGGGTAACCAATATACAGGACCTCTAGCATTCTGCGTAAACTCGTCCACGTTTTCAGTAGTGAATATCTTGTTCAACTTGAAACCGATACCCATATCATCGTACTCCTCGGGAGCATCGAAAAGGTAAGTCCCACCACCCATTGCCACGTGATCTTGAAGATTCTGTCCGACGCCCGGTGAATCATATACCAAATCAATATCTGAAATACAATATGCATTTGAGTTGTTTTGTGTATATTCTTGAATTGTTACCTAGATCGTAGAGATGATCTTTCGGTCCTACTCCTGAAAGCATTAACAGTTGAGGAGATTGAATCGCTCCAGCGCTTAAGATAATTTCTCGATTGGCGTAAATCGTCTTCTTTATGCCGTGTTTCATTATGTCCACACCGTAAGCTTGGTACGACCCTTTATCGATTAATATTTGCTCTGCAATCGTGAACAAACTAACGTCGAGATTTTCGCGTTCATTGATCGGCCTAAGATACGCTTTAGCCGCGCTGCACCTAAATTGACTAAAACGTTAGTAAATATTTTATGATTTTAATGATATTTACCTTAGGCCATCTCGTAAAGTGCCATGCGACAACGTGAATCCGGTTTGGTAAGCTCCATTTACATCCCTCACCTCAAAGCCCATCTGCTCTCCGGCCTTTAAAAACCATTGGGATATGGGAGAATGGTATCTGAAATTCTCCACCGACAAGAAACCATCGCGACCATGGTAATAATCGTTCTGGTATTCTGGTATTCTCATGTTCTCGGACTTCTTGAAGTAGGGTAACACGTCCTTGTAACTCCATCCTGGATTACCGTAGCTCTCCCAATTATCATAATCCTTACGATTTCCCCTTATATAAAGCATGGCATTTAATACGCTACAACCGCCCAAAACCTTAGCTCTAGGCCAATTGCATTGATAGTTCTTCATGGCTAAACAGTAGTAATCGCTTGGCTCAGTCTTGAACTTCCAATCCAGAGGTGATAGTTGCAACGAAGGAAACATTATAGGAAGATCGCTGATCTCCGAGAACTCATCGGGTCCCGCTTCTAATAACAAAATGTCCCAATCGTATATTTCGCTCAAGCGATTGGCCATTACAGATCCGGCGCTTCCGCCACCTGAATTATCAAACTTTACTCAAGTATTAGCTTTAAAGCTTTATCATTTATTTACCTATAATTATGAAATCGTAGTGCTCCTTAAGATCGTAGATCGGTGTATCGGCAATCCGGTAATCCTTATCCAAAATGTCTTGGCGATACTGCATGGTCTGTGAGTGCAGGTACAGCAGGAAACCGAGGCTAGGTCCTAAAGTCAGAGCCATCCTCGTAACCGAATACAGATTCATCAGATCCTCGTGCGCCATGATCGGTCAGCTCTATCGTTAACATCAATTTAATTCCAAAAGAAATCGTACGTCGCGCATTTTTTATACTCAAGACATTCGACACTTTGCTTCAAATGCAGAAAACAAGATTCTAATATACACGGTGTTCACATTCAGTTCAATTGAAACGAGAGTTTTTTTTTTGTAATATTTATTTTATTTTATAAAATTTTATTTAACATATAAATAATCACAATTAAATATTAATAAAAAAAAAAGTAGACACAATTATATACATTTAATTTAATAATTAAAAACTTTGGAGCGATCAGCTTCGCTTCAGCCAGAATTCTTTGATCAAATCGGATCCTTTCTCGCCGATCATGATGATCGGTGCGTTCGTGTTGGCGCTCACCAGGTTCGGCATGATCGAACCATCGATGACCCTCAAGTTCTTGATACCGTAGACCCTTAATTGCGGATCGACGACTGCGTCCTGATCCCAATAAGGGCCCATCTTGCACGTGCCCACCGGATGGTAGATTGTTGCCGAGTAGTGTCTGATCATGCACTCATAAAACGCGTCCGAATAATCCGGCAGATGAGCGCAGTCGGGGAATTTATTGAGTGCTGAACCGTACTGTCTGAAGGCTGGAGTTTTGCTTAAAGCCACGGCGATTTTGACGCCCTCGATTAACGTCTTCATATCGAAATCATCCTTGAAGTAATTCGGATATATCAACGGGTAGTCGAACGGATTTCTGCTGCGCAGCTTGATGAAACCGCGACTTCTCGGCCTCAGCAGCATCGGCAGTACGCTCCATACATCTTGGTTATTGATCCTCTCGAAGACGCGTTTATAGAAATTATCTGATAATCCGTGAGCCTTCTTCAGCTGCTGACCGCCGTCAGAGTTTGTAGATCCAGACACGAAATGGAATTCGATGTCTGGGAAGTCGTCCGTTTCGTTTGCGTATTTTGTATTAACGAAAGCCAAACCTTCAACTCCTCCCATGATGGTCAAAGGTCCGTTTCCGAAGACGGCGTATTGCATTACAGGTTTAACAGCGTAAACCCTGTCCAGCGTAATCGATACAGGTTTGTTTACCAGGAAGGTTAAACCGCCGAGGCCGACATGGTCCTGCAGATTGTGACCGACCTTCAGGTCCTGGATCACCGGGATCTTGAAGTGCTCCAAGTCCGCTTTTGGACCAACGCCGGAGAGCATCATCAATTGCGGCGTGTTTACGCTGCCTCCGGATAGGATGACCTCCTTCTTCGCCCTAATCCTGTGCAATTTACCGTCACGAACAAACTCCACGCCGAAAGCCACCTTCGTAGATGGATCAATCAGTACCCTGGTCACATGAGCGTGCATTGCTACGTGCAGATTGTTCCTCAGCCTAATCGGACGCAAGAAGGCTTTGCCCGTTGAACAACGCGAACCACGACGGATCGTTCCTTGTGCGATCATGAATCCAGCTTGATGTTCACCGTTAATATCTCTGTTTTCATATCCTGAAAGAAAGAATAAAGCATTAACAAAACATTCATTTATAATTTTAAAGTAATAAATTTCACTTTTATTTTATTAAATATCCCTTGTTTAAAATGCATAAGGGATACATAATATTATAAAGTAAGAAATATGAGAATATAAATATACCTAATTGTCTTCCGCCTTCAATAAAACTGGTAACCAGGGGTGTTTGATACGGAGCTTCGGTTACAGTCAGAAATCCTCCGGTCCCGTGGTATCCGGTGCTCGTTAGATACGGATTCTGATTGTCCTCAGATTTCTTGAAGTAATACAAAGCATCCTTGTATCCCCATCCCGGATTTCCCAGGTTCTCCCAAGTATCGTAATCCTTCTTGTTTCCCCTCACGTACAGCATGTAATTCAGGACGCTGGAGCCGCCGATAACCTTTCCCCTGGGCCAATTGCATCTTCCGTTCTTCATGCCTAGACAAAACAAAAGTTACAAAAGCTGTCGACCCTCGATCCGCGGATTTCTCACCTAAGCAGAACGTGCCCGACGGTTCACTCTTGTACTTCCAATCCAATTGCGAGAGTTGCAGATACGCAGCCATCAAGGGTACATCAGATATTTCCGTTTCATCGCCTCCCGCTTCCAAAAGCAACACGTTCCAATGACCGATTTCGCTCAAACGATTCGCAACGACGTTGCCTGTAAAATTAACAACACAATTAATATAACTGTTTAAATGAAGATTAATTATAAGATAAATTACCGGCAGATCCGGCGCCGACCACTATGAAGTCGTAGGAGGTGTAAAGGGAGTCAGTTTCCACGTCGTTTAATTTCGATTCCGGGTCCATAATATCGAATTGGAAGTAGGCTATGGCTGCGACTAGGGCGGGCAGGATCATGGCCATGTTGGTGGTGGCCGCTACCCCCAGCCCTGTCGTTAAGGGCGCCAGTATAGAACTCATCCCTACGAATAAGCAATCAATTAAAATCACAATAGTTTCACTACAATTAATACACAATAAATTAGTTATTTAATGAAAGTGAAAATGGAAATGAATGTATTTAATTACCGAATGGTATGGTCATCGCGATTCGGACCTCTGAGGTCTACTGTCAAAAAAAGTGGCATCGTTCTAAACGCGAAGACTCGCTCATCCCTCGATTGATATTTCGAGCACGAGCCGAGTCACTTTCTACAGCGAAAAGTACCCCCCAAAAAGAACAAATTAGAGTATCAAGTCACGATAGGTGTACGCGACACTCTTCACGAACAATCGATACTCGACCATTACATAAACGGAAACGTTTCTTGCGAAATCCAGACGCATCGAGGAGAATTCCATTTAAGGGTCCACTCCCACTCAATGCAATGCAACAAACATCAATAGAACCGTTCGCTCATAATTTACCAATTAATTTAATTTAGTGCAAATACAAGAAGCAGATAAATATATTTAACAAATGTGATTTGTTATATGGATGCCGTGGATCATAACAACAAATCGTGTCTGAGATTCGAAATACTTTCTTTGCACTGTGCGAACAAGAAACTTGTAACCGTGGAAAAGGAGCTGTGAATAATTCGCATTTTGCATAGTGGGTCGTGGAGCGAATCAATCTATGATGCACGGAAAGTAGAATTAAGATAATGGTGGAAATTGGAGGTGGCTGTGAACTGGAAGCGAGAACGAAGAGCAATTTCAACGACATTTTTTTTGTTTCATTTGTTTCGCTGCTAGAGATAATATGCACTTTTTCTACTTTTTCTCCTTCCGTCGCTTTTTCTTGCACGTAAGTAACAGTGACCCATATACCCATTATTCCATTTCGAATGCCGCGCGCTTGATTTTCTCCGATCGGCAATGAAAAAATAACAACAACAGCAACAGAAATAAACAAGTGAAATAACCGGAACGGAATTGATGCAGTGTTTACAGCTCTTTCTAATCCTCATCATTTACTCGATGCAATTACTCTTTCTATAAATAATTATTTATCGGTTTAATTATTTCTACAATTCACTTGTTTTTAATGCATAGACTTATTATTAACTATAAACATAGAAATTACTCAATTAAAATGTATTTAGTTAAGAAAAACATCAAACCGAACTATAATTAATCCGCGCTATGCGGAAATTATTGTGCATCGTTTTAGATTTTTATTATTCCAATGTAACTAATGATAAAACAGTAAATTGTGGAATAGTGTCATTAATAAAAATTATATTTGCATATTGATTCAAAATTTATTGATTAATTATGCATTGTGTTAAAATATTTAGATACCAAAGTCTAAAGTTCGAATTAGTGTTCGTTTACAGTTATCATTATTTTCTTATAAATACTTAATATAATTGATGATGAATTGATGACTACTCTTAACGTATTTATGCAAATAAATTAAAATTGTAAAATAACAAATCATAAATAAATTGCGTATTTAATTACATTAGTGCGAATTATATCACATTTAGAAGTAAACTAGATCTATCACTTATTAATGGAAAAACGAATAATTTTAATTGTAAAATTACCGTAAATTATTTATTTTGTCAGTAAAATCGAAACATGTCATGTAACGGATGAATTTAACAGAATGTAATGTAAACAGATTATGTGATGCATATGTAAATTCTGTATCTGTTATGTTAAGTTGTATTATTTTCCTTAATGGATAATATTTAATTAGTATACTATGTATTGTAAGTAACGTATAAAGGCTGATTTCTAAAATTGTTTTTATTTCTATGAATTATTAACACAATTAATTATCTTCAATATACAAGATCAGTGTTTTGGTAGATTTTATTGTCTGCTAATCAAAGTTAGAATTAATTTTCTAATATTGTTTATATTGTTTATTTATAATATCAATTAGAATTAATTTAAAATATTAATGTTTTATACTCGTATTAAACTTTAGTAGAACGATTTTGAAAATGAACAAAGTTTATAATAAAATATCTTAAAATTTAATTGTACATTTGCTATATTTGTGATATTTCGTTAAACTATTGTTACTATATATTATACAAAGTAATTCACAGTCAAATTTATCTTCGAATGTGAATTTCATGAGATTTAATGATACGATCAAAACGTTTGTGAAATCAGTACTTCACAGTTTTAATATTTGTACCATTACTATCACTCATAACAATTGTTATAATTTTATGATGAAATTATTATAATATTAATTTTGTGTTAAATTATTATACGTGAAAAGTAGTTCAAAGTTAATATTTTGTGAATAAAGTAATTTCTTTAATAATAAAATAGATTATTGTTTAAGTAAATAACAAAAAATAATAATAATGTTTCCGTTACTCGAGAGAATGTTGAACGCGGAAGTGAATAAAAATGAAGAATAAATAAGTTCATGGTCAAGTCTGTTTACAGCACAATAAACTCGCGCAAAACTGCTTTATTTATATAATTGTGAGATGTGAAAAAGGAACTAATGTATTTGTAGGTATTGGCGTTTGATAAATGATGAAATTCTGATGTACATAAATGGTTCAATTGATTTATTACCTTAAAAGTTATAAAAGCAATATAATCCTAAAATTAATGAGTCACGAGTCACCATTTAAAAAGGCGCGAACTTTGGTGTCCAATTGCACAACCGACCATCAGACATGCACCATATCTTTCACAATACTAAGACGGCGGTGAAAGACGACTACGAACCATCCACTTTCTTCACATACAAATTGCTTGGGTATACATGAGTCGCGTCACGAAATTCTTAACGGGAACTTAACTAGGAGCTTGAAGAGCCTTGGACGCCTTCGCGTTAACACCGGAACCCGTTTTTGGGCTGCACTCGACGACTCACACAACAGTTACAACGGTATATACACACATCTTCGAACGTCCATCCAGACTTTTCGACAGTTTGGACACAGATTTTTCCCGGTTGCAATGCCGGTCTACGTGCCGTAGGTAACGTTCGTCTACCTCCATGCACTTTCTACGTGATTCGCCGGAAGAAAAGAATCAGAACGGACCCCAATTCTTATAGCAAACATAACTTTCTTCATCTGTTCGAAAATAAACAATCAATTGTAATTTTTTTATGTTTGTATGTTTCAGGTGGATGCTGTGGTTCGACGAAGAGGGTGACGATAGTGGGTGGATGGTCATGGGCATGGTGGCTTGTGACGGACGTCCAACGTCTATCGTTGGAGGTGATGACTTTGAACCCCATGTGCGACAGCGTGGAGACGGCTCAGGGCGTCCCGCTGACTGTCACCGGGGTGGCTCAATGCAAGATCATGAAGGCCGACGAACTGTTGCACACCGCTTCCGAACAATTCCTCGGTAAATCTGTCAAGGAAATCAAGTCCACGATACTCCAAACTCTCGAAGGTCATCTGAGAGCTATACTGGGTGAGTACGAAACTTTGCTGAAACTGAAGATTTAGTAAAGTTGTCATGGTAACCTATCTGCAATGAAACAATTAAAGTTGAAAACTTGATCATTCCAATAAAAAACATTAATTCAAATTTATTTAAATATTGAAATATACAAAAAAAAAATTAACTACAGAGGAAAGCCATCAGTAATACTAATATAGTTTCTCGCTTTGACACCAAGTCACATCTGTCATATTGAACAAGTAGTACAATCAATTATACTAATTACAATTAAAAACATAAATCAATACATTTCATATTAATATGTACAACAGAAGACTTGTTCTTCTTACTTACTTCCTTCCTTCTCTACTTCCATGATTATGTATTTTTATATCAGTTTGTCAAAAATGATAATATAATTGCCTTAAAAGCAATAAACAACAATATTTATTGAAACAAGTATATAATTACATAAATAATTTGAATCATTGAAATTACGTTCCAAATTATAAAAACATTTAAATAAAAATGTAATAAATTAAATAAGTGTACCTACTAATAACACAATGGAATTTGTTACGATAATTGTAATATTTATTTCGTCACAAACAAGCAACCCATTAGGAGTCGGCGAAAGTTAGGCTATTGAACCAGAAACTATTATTTCTATCATCATTGAAGTATGCACCTAAGTATATTTTTTACTGATTTTTTTTTATTTCTAGAAACAATAATGATACAGTATCCAGAAAACATTCAAATTCCAAAGCTAATGGAGTGTAGTTTAAATTGTTAAATTAAACAAAGAATCTTGATTGTAAACTTTTTTTTTAGTAAAAAAATATAAATACAGTTAACAAACATAATCCGTTCAAAGACGATGTTCGCTATTCGATGTTCAATGTTCACTATAATTCATCATCATCAAATGAAAAGCGAAAGGTCGAAAAGATGTTCATTATCCGAATATACATTTGTTGTCTGATCACAAAAATATTTTGCGAAAGTATTCGTTTTTCCTATTTGTTTGCAATCCGAACTGTTCATACACACTGTGTATGATGAAAACAGTATATTCAAATTATATACATAGTAATATTTATTTAGTTTATATGGTTCTATTTCTGACACCCTTAGCGACCTCCGCTGCATTATATTTCTTTGTTTTACGTCTGAGTATAGATCTCACCACCTTTGCACCATACAAATCAGTAGTTTACGTTAAAATATATATGCAAATGTACTCTTACCAAATGATTGTTTAAATATCTCGATGTATATTTGGTTGCAGCTATTATTTACTTTGGAACACGTGCTATTCTCTCAAAGGTTGTTTTTCATGATTACTCGAAGTTTACATAATAAACTCTATTATTAAGCACAGATATATTTTAAGGAAGCGTGTTTATCTTAACAATTTATAAATTTAATTTAAGACCTTAAGGTGAGGTCTTTATTTTAAGTAACCAGCATTTTTCTTAATAAATATACAATACGGAATAGTTTATTTTTTCATTATAGTCTATTTACAACTTGTTCTATTAGAAATAAACTAAATTCAATGGTTTTACAGCAACATCTACTTTTTTATATTTGAAATAGTTTTATTTAACAATTTATTGCTTTTGCTTTAGTATTCCATATTTGAAATGTATTGGTTCAAATGCGTTTTCTTAAAACTTTTTATTTTAATAACTTTCTCTTCTTATAATTCAAAATGTGTGTTTAACATTGATGTAATTTCAATTTCCTCTTTAATTGGAGCACTTATTGTATTTTTCATTAAACTTGAAAATGTATACTTAATTCGTATACTTTTTGTTAGTAAAATCTTCATTTATAGGAGCAGATATGATGCAATTATTGAAGGATTGTGTTGTTAATGTTGATGTTTACTAATATAAGATATTAAAATAATGTTTTTCAAAATCAAATGTACAAAATTCACCTAATAATTTAAACTTCAACTTCGTAGAAAATATTTAGAATTAGAATTTTCAATAAATTAGATTTATATTAAAATTGACAGAGAAAAAAATGTCAAAAAAAATATGTAGGAAACGAGTATTAATTTCGTCGTGTCGCGCAAAGCGGAAATGAAAAAAAAATATATCTAACACAGAATGCACTAACTGCATCGCATGTCAGGCCCATCGAGCATTCACGTTCGTGAGAAAAATACATGCTGAATGTAAACTATCTAAATGTTAACGCTTTTAATGTCACTCAATGTCGTTGCTATAATTATATGTGCATGAAAAACAACAATACGAAGGAAAATGTTTGCATTTAAACTTGAAACTACTGACTTTATTTGATTTTTTTAATGTCCTATAACAATTAGTACAATAGCTTGTTAAAAGCGTATAGTGTTAATTTGTACAATTTTCATTACTAATTCCTTTTGGATACTATCGTCCATCTTGTTTGTGATCTATAATAATTTCTATGTGTTTCCTTATTGATTTTAAATTATCATAATTACATGCCTCGTGTTCGATTATTGTATAATGTCGTGAATTATTAACTTCTACATCTTTATTTATATAAAAACTTTATGTTGGTTACATGTTGACACATAATACTATTAATTGAATAAATAATATGATCAATTGATAGGGTTACCAGATGTCTCGGGTTATTTCTGAGATTATTTGTGTGATTTTGTTGTTGTTCCTAAAAAAATGAATTATTTGATCTAACATCCCGATTTGAAGACCTAAAAATCTGAAAATCAAAATTAATATGTTTGTCTTTTAACTGTCACTTCAGTTTTAATGTTATCATCGCATTCCATGATTATTGGCTAGATAATCCTGATCAAGCCAATATAGTCATTTCAAGTTGGTACTGGTACTATAACTGGTCACATATACGCACATTAGCTCTTTGAGGGGCGGTGGTACATGCATTGAACCACCTTTCGAACATGTCTAGTGGGCGGTGGTACTCGATTTGTACCACCTTTTTAGTTATATCTCTTTTAAATATATCTTGAGGCGACTAATAACCGAATGGTTAAGTCGCCCTACCCACGAGCTAGTGAACGCAGGTTCAAATCCTGGTCAAGCCTGGTTGAATGAGGTTCAACATATGGACCTTCAGCCAAGTCGATCGATGGATAATGACAGTGTTAAGGATAGAAGCAGATTCACAGTGATAGGAAAATAGTGGAATCGCAATGAATCAATATACTACTGAAGTTAACATACAAGACGACAGCCAACCTACAAATTAAAAGAAAATGATCATAATGGTAACTATTCACCAGGAAAGATTACCACCTACCTAATGTCAACCGCGATCTTAAATTTACTCAACGTTGACATTGATGAACAGATTGTGAATAAAATTACAAGACATAAAATGTATCTTAATTTTCTAGAAAATGTCCATGAAATAGGAATTGCCACCTTGTAATCAGCAAATTCATTAAAATTTATTTATTTTTTTAAATGTATTGACATTTCTTCAAAGATTTAAGGAATGTTATTCGGAAATAATATACAACTCGATTTGCTGATAATAAAGTTTTCTAGAAAAATGCGCTGCAGGAAAACATATTTATGCAAAATATTATTCAGTTTTGACTTCCTTTCATGATTTTAGATAATTTTCGATAATCCGCATAGAATGACCGTGCATATATCCAACAGGAAGGTTACATAATGAGGGAACGAAAAAAAAACGTAGCGAAACCAATTATTGATGACCTTCGCGGTTTTCTTGACAGTAAAAGAAACAAAAACTAGAATACAAACAGAGACAACGCCGAAATACTACGCATTATCATTAAAATCTCCTTATCAGCAATAATTGTTTGAAAAAGTGCGCAATATCGAAAATAATTAAAACAAACAATTGATTTCTGCAACGTTCGTCTGAGATGTCCGAAAAAGCGAGACATTCGTGTTTCACGGTAATTCCCGTCTATTAAGTAAATAGTTTTATAATTTCGTTGTATTCTTTCCTAAGCGCGTTTCAGTTGTTCAAAAACCGCGCGACGTGACGCATTCGAATATATAAACGCTCGAAAGAAAAGCTTAAAGAAACAGTTACATTCGACAGCTTCGATTCTTCTTTTAAAAATTGTGTATAAAGTAAAAACATTGTTTGTGAGTTCTTCGGATAAAGTGCGCGTTTCTAGTTTTTTTTTTGCTTCACACTTTATTTGAAAGAGTGTTCTGTTTCCGGCTTCAGCTGTTTATGGGAACATGTCTCTTATGTGGATGGGAGCTATCAAGCTTGGGCTTACAGTTGGTGCAACTTATGCAATTATTACCAGGTAAATTTAACAGCAAAGAAGTATTTGTAACTTGGGAATTTTCCTGTCACATTTGCTTAACAATTACATTTTTTTTTACATATATATTTAATAATATTACGCATGTCCTTAAGAAAACAGAAATAATACCTTGAACTCGTTCATTATATTCTCGCTTCAAATTACTTTCAATGAAATATTCAAGAAGATTTTTTATTAAACAGCTATAATTATTGTAGAATCAATAATCGCCATTAATATACCATTGTTTAAAAGTATACAGTGAAGACATATTGTGTAATATTTGATAACTTACTCCAGGTAAAAATATATATAATATGTATTTAACTTGTACTGGGAACACAAGATCATTATTGTACTATTAAAATTTCTGTTCGACTTTCACTAATCCCCATTACTTTTTTTTGTCGATCTCTTAATTTGCGCATATATTTTGCAACTCTTTCAAAACCTTATTCTTGTGTAATCATATCTAAATAGTTAATTAAATATCATCTAAATATTATCTCGTTTTTAATTAAAAATAAAATGTATTATACCATTAATATAAAACAAATGATTAAAACTTGATAAATTTAACATAATAAAAAATTAAAAACGTAGTTTGTAGATAAAGTAATATAGACTCAAAGTTTATTGCTTTGTTACAGTGACTACAAAGAAAAATGAGTTTTTAGATTTGTAACAGCCTCGATTAATGTTTTCAAGATTTAATTTTACAGTGCAACAATGTAAAAATAGGTTGAACATATATGCATGGCCTCTTTTTTTTCAATAAATTACGAATCGCATTTCAGGTCATGTGTGAGTCGACATTTGATGTTTCGATCAAATAAAACATTTATTGTTGCACGTATCAAACTATTTCTGTCCACTGTATTGCGTTGTTTGTTTTATCAACATGCTTTCAAATGCATTTTACATTTGTTCTTAGATAACTTAAAAAAAACAATCCACTAGAAATGTTGAATTTGTTACTTTAGTGTCTTAAAAATGTTTAACCGTTATTCGCGTTGGTTTTTCCGAGATAATCTTCTATTTCAATGCTTAAGTAAATAACATATTTATGTTGATGTATGAACTTCTTGCTTAATTTTTATTTGAATAATGTCAAATATTCGCACACAAAAATCTGTTGAATTGTATTTAGTAAAATCGCACTTTTGATACAAGAGATGTAATTTCTTTCTTATTATTTAGTGATACTTTTTTTTGATGAAATTACGACATTTTTTTCTTTGAAAATATGAAAAATTCTTTAGTCTACTACAATATTGATACTAATTATAAATTAAATATAATAATAAATCCAACACAATAAAGAATTATTAAAATTATTTCTTTATACATAAAATGATAGTTTTTTAATGATAGTCTTCTTTTTGGAAAGGGTGTCCCAAAATTAACGCAAGTTTTTATCACAATCACAAAATCACAATCTGAATACTAAAAACTGTGTTTTCTATTTAATTCAAATCTTGCGTTAATTTTGGGACACCCTTCATTTATGTACATTACTATTTTTAATAGAAAGTTACTCTTTTAACTGGATATGTACCAATAAAATGATATTTATCTATACTTGTTATTCGAATTATCTAGTTTACATATTAAAATAAGAAAGGATAAGGAAGACAATAGTTTCAATGCCATCTACCGCGGATAGCTTCCGCACTGAGTTCAGTGCGAAGAAACGCGTGAAACTTTTACGCAATATAATCAAACTTGATGCGCAAATTATCTACTACGCTTCAAGAATGATAAATATTCTTAAACGTCAAACTATATCACAAATTCTTTATTGTCTTATATAAAAATAATAAAATTATATATATTACCATTTTGCATATGTTTGATCAAAGTTCAAATTAACCTGTTTAAAAGTCATTAGAATAAGATAATTCATTAATACGTAAATTAAATGATATTAGATTTTGTAAAGTATTACTAAAAAAAATATAATTTATAATCAATGAATTATTTAAATTATTATTTTACTAAATACTGTCGTGTCCCGGAATTAAGAAATCTCTGGACACTGTAGATTATCTCGTAGTTATGTCGTTGTAGAGTCTTAGAGGGATTTATGAATATCCAATGCAATATTCTTAATTAACTTTATGATACACATAGGAGTTTTTATTGAGAAGTCAACTATACAATAGTTTATCACATGGATTATTAACTAAGAGTTACATTACCTCTTAAGTTAGTATTTAGGAAGTAAGTGCTCTTCCTTGGACTCTCCAAGTAAGACTTCCTCTCAGTTCGACCCTCTAGCTAAGACTAAATTATATAATACAAAAATGTGTTCATTTCAAAAAGACAATGAAGAATTCTACGTAGTTAAGGTAAAGTAAGGATTTATTAATAATTTATGTTATTTTATAAGAAACTTCTATAAATAAAAGGTATGCTTTTCTGCAAATGAAATTTCACTATAAAAGTAAAATGTGTGCGAAACGTGATCGAATGCACATATTTTTCTGTCGATTCAGTTTGTTTGCACAACCGATTGCAACTATAAATGAACTTGTAAATATTTGGATCGTGATTAATGCGCTTATTGTTCTAGATAAATTGTACGTATTTCTTTTTAAACTTCACCTATGTTTATTATTTATCGAAGTACACTGACACTCATTAGTGATTTGGATATTGTTGTAGCTGATTTATCCTTTTCATACTTAAACTTTAATATAAGATGAAATTGGAAATTAGCATTGTGTCAAAAATACGAATATTTCACATTATTAATTTAAAAAACCTAAACGTGATTCGATCAGTTTTTAAAGATAATCAGATAAGATATTAAAAAATGTGATGATTTTGTTTATATTTTCATTACTTCCGTCTATTAATAATATATTATTATGTTTATAAAATAGATATAGATCATTTAATGTTGATATTTAAAAAAAAATGTTTTTGGATATAAAGTCAATACATTCAAACAATATATCACTTTGATCACCTGATTAATCATACAGGAATTAATCTTTTGTATGATTTGTAAAAAATAAAGTTGTTTATCAATAGAGTTTGCATTATATGATAAATTAAATATATTGTATTTAGTCTATACACTAATAATAATTATCTATTAAGCTATTAATAGAATACAAAAACTATACATTTATTACTAATCTTCTATGATCGATCTTCGAATTAAAGAAATTAACCTTTCTCTCCAGTTGACCCCAAACAAATAGATCTCGTCATGTTAATAATTTAAAAACATTGCTTAATAGTATTATTTATACTACTTCCCGGTTAATATTAACGTTCACATAAAAAAAAACTTGAACTGAAAAATACAAAAGAAAAACTGGTTTTACGTCAGCAATTGTAAAACTATTTCAATTATGAAGCCGTGGGTCGAGATCAAACTCACTTGAATTCATGGCTCAAGGTCACTGTGACAAAAAAAATTTAAACAGTTTTAGTTTAAACGAAAATTTATTGCAGATGCAAATAACAGGATAGTTTCGGTATGAACTGTGAGAGATTACGAATGATTATTGCGTCACTGCGTTTATTAAACGCTAATTAAGCATTTAAGATTGACGTCAAATAATTTAGATAACTGAAGTTAATATTTGAGTTTATATAACTAAAATGTATACACACGTTTTGTTTATACTTAATATCATTTTATTTTAGTATCATAATATAAGATTAATTTGATGTTTATCAGTGGGATTAACGAAATCTGCGTAATTGAAGGAAAATATACAGTGGAACCTCCGTTCCAAAATTTTCGGATTTTTACTCGTATAGTGAAACAATTTTTCCCATGCGTTCCATTTTCCATTTTGCGAGTCATTTTTCTTACAATTTATTTTGCTCGTTAAGCGAGGTTTCACTGTATTTCAAATAGTTATTAATATAATTTAAATTTGTTATATAAAAAAGTCACAATACAGCAATACCTCGCATAGTCCGGGTCATGATCGAAGATCGGACTATGCAAAGTATTACTATATATTTGAACATTATTCAATCAAAAAATCTCAAAAAGAAATGTTTAAATTGAAAAAAATTGTTATATCTGTGGTGTTTCTAAGAAATTATGTTTTGTATATAGTCTTATAAGTTTTTGTTTGTGGTTTATAGGAACTCTTACAGTCGAAGAGGTGTACCGCGACAGGGACCAGTTCGCTGCTCTTGTGCGGGAAGTAGCCGCACCGGACGTAGGTCGAATGGGAATTGAGATATTGTCGTTCACCATTAAAGACGTTTTCGATGATGTGCAATACCTGGCCTCTCTGGGCAAAGCTCAGACGGCAGTCGTGAAGCGCGACGCCGACGCCGGAGTTGCCGAAGCGAACCGTGACGCCGGAATCCGCGAAGCCGAGTGCCAGAAATCCGCAATGGACATCAAGTACTCCACCGATACGAAGATCGAAGACAATTCGCGTATGTTTAAGCTGCAGAAGGCACATTTCGATCAAGAGATCAACACGGCCGTAAGTATAAATCGCGACAAGCGAACAACACAATGTAAAATATTAAATACTTAATCTTTGGAAAACCATGCAGAAAGCCGAAGCGCAGTTAGCGTACGAGCTGCAAGCTGCCAAGATTCGCCAGAAGATCAGGAACGAGGAAATCCAGATTGAGGTGGTGGAGCGCAGAAAGCAGATCGAAGTGGAAGCGCAAGAAGTTCAGAGGAAAGAGCTCGAGTTGAACGCAACTGTTCGTTTACCAGCTAAAGCCGAAAGCTACAGGGTTGAGATGATTGCCCAAGGAAAGAGGTATATTTCTTACTTCTTATTAAGAAGGTTAGGATGTTAGAATGTAAATGCTAATTATGTGATTTTTTGTTACAATAGGACACACACTGTAGAAGCAGCGAAGGCTGACTCTGAGAAGATCAAATTGCTCGGAAGCGCTGAAGCAGAATCCATTTCGTTGATGGGTCAAGCCGAGGCCGAAGGAATGAGACTGAAAGCCTCTGTGTACAAGCAATACGGGAATGCGGCGAAGATGGCCATCGTTTTGGAAGCACTACCAAAGGTAATATATTTAACATTCACCTTCAGCTTTTTGTTAATTAATGAAGTTGTTGAATATAGTCAGCGCTCTATTAAAGTACGCTCGGTGATATGATTATTACGATCCTCAAATCAAAGAACGTACAAATATCCTAACCAACGTACAATGTCAGTATGACCAGTAGGCGTCTGTGCATGAAGTATTCATATTATGTATGTATTACTTTTATCCATGTTATGTTTTTTTTTCTACAACTAGTTTTTGGAAACAAATAAATTATATTGTATACAGTATGTATGCAAGTATATAATAACGTGTACGTTGTATACGTTTGAGCGAACCAGAATACCGGAATATGAAATATAAAATGAGAATGTATCGTCTGATTAATGTACATTCTCATAGGGAACATCAATTAAGTGTACGGATTATATACATTTATATTATAATCATTTACAATTTAATCTTTAATCATTTTAATTTTTATTAATAAAGATTATTAATCTTTTACGTTATTAATCTTAATACGTTTGTTTTTATTTTCATTTGCAGATTGCAGCCGAAATTGCAGCTCCTTTGGCGAAGACCGATGAAATAGTCCTGCTGGGTGGATCGGACACAGCCACTGATCAGATTTCACGGTTGGTTGGAAAATTACCTCCAGCAATAAACGCATTAACCGGCGTGGATCTTTCGAAAGTTTTAGGGAAGATTCCTGGAGCCACCGTCAACCAAACTACTGCCGTTAAATAAATAAATCAAAAACAAGCAGAAAATAACATTAAACAAAACTAAGAACAACACCGAATAATATACAAATACGACACAAATAGCCGCTCCTTCGGTAATTTCATTCTACGCCTTTACAATTGATATTTCTGGCTTTCAATTCTTTTATATACAAAACTTACTATATATATTATATTCGATTAAAGATGAAAAAAAATACAAAAAAAAATATTTTAAATATAAATATAATACTCGTGAAAACAAACCAAACAAAAAAAAGGACTATTATATATTTAATGAAGATTAATTAATTAAAGAGAGAAAATTAAATAAATGAAAATGTGTTCAGTATAGAAATTATATATATATAATAGCAAATTAATACAAAAATCTACAAAAGAAAAGATAACTATGCTACTTAACTCAAGTACATCGCGTATTATATAAAGAATGGATAATAATTGTAAATGTAACAAAAAAAAAGAAAAGAAAATGAATGAATGAAAATGAAAACGTTACAACACTTATTTGATTAGTTTATTTCCACAGTTTGCTATGAGTAATTCGATGACGTCGTGATCCACCGAGATTTTCTACTTTCGTTAATTGCTCAATGGACTTTCGTATATTTTAGTATTTTATCCTCGATTCATTCACAAGTTCACATAAACTAAAGACGTATTTTCATTTGAACGTTTTTTCCCCGAAACCGATGTGTATACACTACTTAATAAACATTATAACTTTTTAAATATGTAAATGTAAATTTCCAAACGCCAATCTTTTGACCAAAAAAAAAACAAACAAACAAAAACTGGATATGTAGTGATTCTTAGTGAATACGAGAGAGAAATTAAAAGGGCTAATAATAAAAGTTAGTAAACGAAAAATTAGTTTATATTTAGATTTTGAGAAGAGAAGAGAGCGAGAGAGGCAAAGTATAAAAAAAAGAAAATATTTTTTTAACTAAGAAACTACTACATGGTGAAAAACTATATAGATACACTTTAGGGGAAGGTTTTTCTTTTCTTTTAGGAGCGAACATTGTTTCTCAGGTCACAGAGTGTATAGCGTAATACAGTTAGCGGTCTTTCATTTCAGTATCACCCGTATTTAATCGTTACCAAGGATTATTCTATTTATTTTATATATAATTTCTAAACAACAAAGTTTCCTTGTCGAGAGACACAATTATGATTTTTTTTTTCTTTTCTTCCCTAAACTCGTCGTTTCCAATGTAATATTTAGCTTCAATGTTACACCGAGTACGCACGTGTGTTCGTATAAGGAAATAAGCCAAGAATATTTAAATAAAACAAGAGGAAACCTCGTTGCATAATATATAGAGAATCTCAAACGCGAATTTCAGCTAGTGGAACAGAGATTATTACCATGAGGAATATACAGTTAGCGTCTTTATAATCGAGTATTTTTGTACTCGCGTATAAAAAAAGAAGAGTTATCGCATTAAAGAGGTTTAACAAGAGATTAAAAATAAACAAAAAAACAAATATATATGTTAGAGTTCGTCGTGCTTCAATGAGAGTATTCATATATAGTTATTAGAAAAAGATATATTGTATTTATATTTTGATCAATTTACTTTCGTTTGTCTCTTTACAATTTATTTTCTCAGCACAAAGTAGTTGCTTTGTATACTTTTTTTTCTGTCAGATATCGATATTTTTATTATTTACATAAATATATTTTTGTTTCAATTTAATTTAAAACATTATATAATAATAATATACAGTGTATGTTTCGTTGCAATTTGTGAATTTTTGATAATAGTCTTTATTATATTTTATTATGTTGTCTTATTTTTGTTTCTTTTTTTTCTGTAAATTCTTTTATATATTATTATTATGTACGTGTATTCATTCGTATTGTTTTTGTAAACTTTTAATACACATTGTGTGGAAGATATTTTAATAAATGGCATGATTTAAAAACTACCGTTTTCAGAATTTTATTTATACAAAAATTTTTTAGGACAATTATTTTATTCGATATAAAACTATAAGTTATCAATAAATTATCCTATCAAAAAAAGTGTCTTAAGTAAGTATCCGGCAATAAAGGAGAAACATTTGATAACTTCTTCGAGATAAAATTTATTGGTTAACAACAAAATTGGAGTTGGAGATGATTTGAAACTTTTGAAAACGAACGCTTTACTTTGTATTATGGCCTTTAATACAAAAGTTTTTAATTGCTTTTCCTTCATCATTATTAGTGAAACGTTTGTTCTGTTTATTAATTTACTTATAGCATTATGATTATTTTTTATTGTCGAAGAGATTCATGTTATTGTAAACTTTATTTTCTATGATTGATGAGGTAGATTTTATATGGTCAGAACTATTTGAATTTTCCATTTTCCCATTAAATATAAACATTTACTGAATCGGAAGTCAAAATCCCAATGTTAAGTCAAAATTTCCATTAATTACAACGTTTCCTTTTAATTTGATCTGTATGATTTGCATCTTTTTGCAAAGTAAATATTTTGAAACACCTTTTTTGTGTCTTTTAAAGAACTCACAGAAGTACAATATTTATGTTTTAATTTGATATTCATTATTTAATTTCCAACTAATGATATTTCAAATGAATTAAAGCAGGTTAAACTGTATAAATAAACAAAAAAATAATTTATAATTACATCATTATGTTTGTTCTTTTAAACTACGTAGACTTCTATGCGTGCACATAAACTCAATGTTGTTTAAATACTATAAATAAGCGAGATGTGTTAAATTTAGTTTAGATTGTCCCTTATATTGTGCAACGTACAGTTATACTCAAATATCTTCAAATATTGGATTACGCACTACATAAACATCAATTTACAAGTAAGCAATTTATACATATGTGTTTTCTCTAATTAGTTCTTACTAATAATTAAAGTCAACCAGATTTGTATCGTTACAATAAATAAATTTAATTATTTTTGGTTTAATCATTTAATATTTTCATTATATTTTATTTTGTCTACTTTATACCTAATAGAATAGGCTATCAATTTATAGTGGTAAAATTTATTAATTTAAATGATTATTGTTAACACTAACATTTTTGTTGATTGAGTTTACATTTTAGTAAATAATAATTATTGCCATATTCTAAACAAGATAATTCTATATATTATCAAAACGATAAATATTTAATTTTTGGTTTCAATCGAACAAAATGAACTTCTTTCAATTTCTCATTGATATATCAAGAAATCTGCATCATTTAGCGATAGTTTAATTAATATCCGGTTTAATTTGTGAGTTTAATAAATAAATCAATTTTAACAAGTCAACTCCAAAATGTATATCATTAAATCGACATTTTTTTTAAATTTAATGAAATAAATAAAGTTACAATTTTTTTCACACAAGTAAAAGAAATACAGTGGAACCTCGCTTAATGAATTTAATCGGTTCCAAAATTTCCGGATTTTTTGCTCGTATAGTGAAACATATTTAAAAATACACATACTATGTGTACACAAGTTTTAAAAATGATGTAGCAGTCACGCAATCTCTTCTCATCGTCACTCGTAATGCAAAACGTCGCACGTTAAGCGAGTCATTTTTTTTACAATTCATTTTGCTCGTTAAGCGAAATGTTCGTTAAGCGAGGTTCCACTGTATATTGTTTTTTAATTGAATAAAACTAGATTTATAGATGTTTACTAAGAATTGATTAAAGTGTGACAACTTGGACTGAGATGAAATAAATACATGGAGAAGGCATAAACAGCAATTTGTAGTAATGACATCGAAATCATTTTATTGCATTGAAAACGATTTGCAACAACACCATGATTATCTCTAGGACTTTGTAAAAGTAAAGTGTTTCAAGGTAACGAAAACTAAATGATCTTAACAATAAAATACATCTGTACACCCAATTTATTTATAAATAAAATTTTATATTCATTCCAAATGGAATCATTAATTTTAAATTTAATTTTGTCTTGCGACGATTAAAACTGTTGGAAGCAACTAATGTCAATTGAAGCTAGATGTATTTCTAACAGTAGTTAATATTGAATAATGAAAAAAAAACAGGTATGATCTTTTCTTATGATTAAAGAAGTGTTTTTATAAAGATTTTAATAAAACAATTTATTTTGTTGGAAAAAAAGGGTTAAACTTCTAAAGTGAATTATCTTCTTCCAACAACTTCAATTTTGGTTTAGGAAATTCTGAATCAAAACTTCTTTTTTTTTGAGTTGCAAAATTATTAGTGAAAGAAATTTATTGTAAGAAGTACACAGCAGATCATCTTACAATATTTTGGTAATTATAAATAAAATGTTCCAATATAAAAAAAAACCAACAGGTTTTAAAATAACTTTCGTCTATCCTTGTAAATCCTACTCAAGCATTATCAAAAATAATCTTATCATACCATCTATATTATAAATACTTTCTTTGTATTTTCAGAAAGAAAATTTATGATTGTGTAATTAGTGATAAACGATGAACATCCTAGGTCATTTGATGAGTCCGTAATAACTGATATTTTCACATAGATGTAAAGTAGCATTTTTATTTTTGTTTTTTGAATGAAACATTTTCTCAATTGTACATTATTTCAACTTTGTTAATAATTGATAATTGGATTACATCAATTAAACAATTTTTGAATAAAATAAACATAATTTGATCCAAGTTTTCTAAATGAACACCAAGTAATATTACATTTTAAAAATATTACACTTTAGTGTCGAGAATAATTCTTTGAATACTCAAAATAGATTTTATTTACAAATGCAAATGTAATTTACATTTAATCAGCATAAATTGTGTAAAAATATTCGGGTCATTAAAATAACTATTATTATCTTATATAGCAACACTAAATATATATATGTATATAGAGAAGGCATGACAACAAAAATAACGCTCAGATAATGTATGTATACATATCACTTAGATATATCAGGTTCATAGAATAGTTGTGGTACGAACGTCTCTATCGACACTTCTATACATCTCAAACAAAAATATAAGTTAGTAAGTCACATTTTCACGTTATTTTTCTTCCAAATAATTAACCAAATATAAAATAAGATTTTCTACCTTTACTCTTCATGACAGCATATTATTACTTTCTGGATAAAAAGAGAAAAAATAACGATAAATATGCCTTGTATACATTAATAAAGTTATAACTAATTATAATCATTAATTGGAAATTTATAAAAAGTGTGCAAAGTACGATTTTTTAGACAATTATTTATCAAATCACATTTTACGTAAGATTCAAGTGTATCCATAAATAAACCACGTTTTTAGATTATCACAAAATTGTTCTAAAATTTGAACTTTTATTAAAACTGATTTCACATCAATATTTCCATTATACATAGGACGAATGTTGTTCTTTTTATATACTTTATATACGAGCAATAACTCGTATAGTCCGGATTCACTATAATCCGGTTTGAAAGAAATAGTAGGCATTTTTTTTTTATCGGATTTATAACTGTTTTATTTAGTTCCTCGATTAGTAAGGTTTAAATTAGATAATTTGCGAAACTTCTCGTATAATTAAATAAACAAAAATGTCATATGCTATTGCAACATATTGCGTATAATCAACGCTACACAAAAGATTAAACTCAGACATTGTAAAAAGTCGTTAAAATGTATTGCAATAAATGTTTTAGTATCTGCATTGACCATGACAAAAAATAATCTATATTTTATAGTCCTCTTGAATTTCCAATTATAAATGATGAAAAATTATTGTTTTTTTAGTATCTAAATTAAATTTATTTTAAAAAAATATTACGTTTAAATCTCCTTTGAATTACTTCACTTTATGAACGAATTTTTTACTGAAACTTCAAGCTTATTAAGATTATGTCCACCTCAACTTATAAATATTCCGAGTACTTTCAAAATAACCACCAATTCTTTATTTGCTATGTGAACGCATTAAGAGTTGTTATTCAAACAAATACATGTTTATTAGCACATTCAAATCATTACCATACATAGATAAGCACATAGATTTGAAAATTACATTAGTATGTTTTGATTTATCCTTTACTATAAAAGTGAAAATAGATTAGATAATGTATCTAAACATTTAGTTTAAAAAATATGCATCACTTAAATTAATAATTTAAAAAAAAATAATGTGACTATTCAAATTGTTTTAAATATTGTTATATAATTTAACTAAAGATTAAAACATTGATTAATTAAAGGTTTTTTTTAAATAATTTAAATTTGATCTGTAAATAGGAAGGATTATCTAATCATTTACTTGAGTATACATGTATTAATTAGAATGTGGAGTTTATTTGGATTTCATTAAAAATTGTAAAATGATTTGTTTAGGTGATACAAAATGGAATGTCTACCGGAATTAGTGAATTCAACGCTAGTCAATACACCTAGTGCACTCTACGTAATGGCCATGCTCTCTTTGCTCTCCGGTCCTTGTAAATTGGATGCGAAGAGTGGATACCCGGACGATCATAGCAACAATTTAAGAGATGGAGATTCTTTCGATTTCATCGTGGTTGGCGCCGGTTCGGCTGGATCAGTTCTTGCAAACCGATTATCGGAGAATCCTGCGCATAAAGTTCTCTTAGTAGAAGCTGGAGGACTCCCAACAATGTTGTCAGAGGTATGACGCATGGTATAATTTTATCAAAATATTCGCTCACAGTTTTTTTTTAACTTTAGATTCCAATGGCTTTCTATTGGCAACAAAACACGGAGTCGGATTGGCGATATAGGACGGAACCCACTGACAAAGTGTGTTTGGGTATGGTAGATGGTAGATGCAATTGGCCAAGAGGGAAGATCCTCGGTGGATCTGGAGCTTTGAACGCGATGATTTATGTTAGAGGCAACAAAAGGGATTACGACCGTTGGGCCGAGAAGGGAAACGATGGATGGGACTACGAGTCTGCGTTAGAGTACTTCAAGAAATCCGAAGATGTGCAGAAGGAGCAGTACAAAAGCTCTGAATATCACGGAACCGATGGTATTTTATCCACAAACTACGTATTGGACAACGAGATTTTGAGGGAGAAGCTTTTGAGAGGCTTCAACGAGACTGGTCTTCCGTGGAACGAGGACGAGCAACCAATTGGCGTTTACGAATGTTTAACCACCACCAAAAATGGACAGCGTCACAGTTCGGCCAAAGCGTTCTTAAAGAATCTGAAAAGACCCAATCTGTTTTTATCAATTAATACAATTGTCACCAAAGTATTAATATCCAATGGCAAAAGCGTCGGAATTCGCATGAAAGTCAACAATAAAATAATCAATGTTAAGGCGAGAAAAGAAGTTATCCTTTCTGGAGGATCTGTAAACACACCGCAACTGCTAATGCTTTCAGGAATTGGCCCAAAAGAGCATTTGGACGCAATGGGAATTCCTGTAATCAAAGATTTACCAGTGGGAAGGAATTTGCAGGATCATTTAGCAACTTTTGGTATAGCAGCGAAACTGGATTCGGCTGAGGGGATTTCGATTTCCGATGAATTTTACAAATACATAACTAAACGAGAAGGAATCTTCGGCGGCATTGGCGTTACCACCGTAATGACATTCCTCAGTACAAAGAATGAAGAGTATCCGGACATCCAATTGCACTTGCTGCAATCGTACCAAAAGGAAAAGGACAATTTGGAGACGACACTAACCCAAATTGGTTTCAACGAAGTATCCAAGAAGAGTTTACTGGATGTTCTCGACAACCACGATACGCTCAGTCTGGTGTTAACTTTATTGAATCCGAAATCCGTGGGTTATTTGGAGCTGAAATCCGCGAATCCATTCGAAGCGCCCATCATACACGCTAATTATTTCTCGCGTAACGAAGATTTGGAAACGCTGGTCGATGGAGTGGAGTTTATAAATAAGCTGATGAAATCGGAAGCGCTTAAAGATCTGCACCCGGAACTGGTGGATTATGAAATTCCAAACTGTTCAGGGCTCGAGTTCGGAAGCAGGGATTATTGGGCGTGCAACATACAGAATTTCGCGTCCACACTCTATCATCCTATTGGCACGTGCAAAATGGGTAAATTGGAGGACGGCGGTGTCGTTGATAGCAGATTGAGGGTGCACGGCATTGAAAGGTTGAGGGTGATCGACGCCAGTATTATGCCCGATATTGTGAGCGGAAACACGCACGCCCCGACAGTTATGATCGCTGAAAAGGGAGCGGACATGATAAAGGATGATTGGATGTAATTAAGCATCGTGCATAATTAGACAGGAATATTTGTTTACTGCTAGTTATAATTACTACGATAATTATTCAAAGCCTTATTTATTTTCCACTAAATTTACGTGTATGAATGTGGAACAAAAAGTTATATGATGTACAGTATTTAAATAAATCTAAATCAAAAATATGTAGATATTTTTATAGTGGAAAAAGATTTTTTAAATAATAAAAATATTAAGTCAATTGAAATTGTCTATTTTAATTGATTTATTTCGTATTTCTCAATAATAAACATTCTAAAATTCTTTCTATTTTTAACATTATTTTTAACACTTACTTGGTGACAAATATTCAATATAGTTTTAGATATTAGATATTATTATTATATGAAGGACAATATTAACAATTATTTCATCATCTAACAAAATCAAATATTTAGGATATTAAATTGATATTAAGTCTCTGAAATGTTACTAGCCATTTCGTCACAAATATCAAGTACAGACAAAAACGGTTTAAATTTTCCAAAAGAGACTACTGAAATACTTAATATCTATGTATTAAAATACATTTTAACAAGTAATCTGTAATTTTTATTGTAAAATCGTTTACTAACCGGCAGATTTGCAGAGACATTTTGGAACATGTTAGAAAACAATTACATTATTTGATTTCATTTCAAATTTTCGATATGGCCGCCTTGAACGCGAACTATAGCTATATAGTTGGTATACAAGCGAGTCACAAGCCGCACAAATGTGAAAACTTGCGAAACCTTGCTCTATTCACAAAGAAGGCTTTATTGAACACATTAACATTCTGGTATTCTTTAGTGCTGACATTGGCCTGTAAAATGACCCATACCGAGAAGTTGAGTGGATTTGCATCTGGTCTCTCAGTCATTGTTGGTTTACGTGTACTTTATGTGATAGTGCAGAATCTTCTTGAAACGTCCACTCTTTCTGACTGAAATGTTTGGTTTTCCACGGCTTCAGACCAACTTCCAAAACTTTTTCGTAGAAGACTTTTTCGCATTAACAAACGTTTTCGTAGTAGACTTTTTCGTATTAACATTGACTCCACGGTCCAAAAACACCAAAGGAGAGCGACTATCGACCGCCACAGCCTCCCAAACTACCACAAACGGTGGTACTTGACTTCTTATGGCCATTCGAATGTCTAAATTTTTGTTTGACCTCTCTTCTATATAAATTCGATCTTTTTGTTTGTTTACGAATTTCTCAATTAGGAGTTTTTTCTCATCAGACAAGACGATATTTGGCAATTGGCTGCGTTTGTACAAGCGCAAGAGCTTCTTCACTCTATCGAGCCTAGTTTTCTTTTGAACATCGATGAGATCTTGTCCTTTTTGGAACTTGTAAGACTTCACTTTGAATTCGATTTTGAGTATGTATTGTATGGTTATTTTCGATACATTCAGCTGAGCAGCCATTTGTCTTCCACTGCGTCGCGGATTTCATTCAATTCGAGCCTTAAGTTTCCGAACCACTTCTACCACAGATGTAGTTTTTTCCGACCACCAAAACAGCATTTTGTAACACTACTAGCTTTGTTATAACGATATATTCACATTAAGGTGTTCGAGGGCTTTAACAATAGCCACTTTTGGTTTTTTGCTCAAGTATTGGACTATCACACTATTACGTTTGAATTCCATTACTGATAACTTTATTTCAAAAAAACTGATATGAAAATGCTTCTGCAGACTTGTAAACAATTTAATCAGCTATCATTAGGCGAAATATGGACACAACATTGCCAACGGTTCAAAAGTTATAGCAGTTTTAAGTTGGTTGCAGCTCAAATGGGCCACCCTGTATATATATATTTAATGTATAACGATCATTGATAATATCCATATTCTTGAGCCATTTAATTAATTATTCTTTATATATTGCTCAAATAAAATTTCTTGTCAATATGAGACTCTCACTTTTGCACTTATGTATTAGTTTTTCAGTAATAGTATCCGATTTGCTTCGATTTACCGAACAGTAACAAGAATTCCGATGTCTTATTTTTTAAGTGCGTATAAATAAGAAACTTTTTATCAGAACTATTTTCAACTATTAATGTAATCTTGACGAGTTGTCATGTAATTATTTACATAATTAAAAAATGAAATTCAGATATCTAAAACAACATTCAGTACAATAACTTATTAGAATAACAATATAGAAATACAAAAAAAATATGAATAATACTCCCCTTTATTAGTTTGTACTTTGTACATAATATTTCAAGAAATATTTAAGTTTATAATAAAAAAATCAATATTTTTTTAAGAAAATTATCTCTAAATCAATTCTTGGATATAAAATGCGACTTGTTTTGGTAATACAAAGTTAGTCTTATATAGAATTTATTAATAGTAAAGTGCAAGATATTCCACAAATTAAATAAATAATTCCCGGGACACGACAAAAGGTTTGTATAATTTCATATATTGTTTAAATATGTGTTTGCATGAATATAATATATTATTAATTAAAAAAATATATCGTTCTAATTGTGTGATAGTAGTAGTAATTAGGAAATAAAAATATAATGAATACATATTTTTTGTAAGAAAACTTGCATATATTTAGTTAATTGGACTGATAATTATTAATAACGTTGAATATATAAGCACAATCGATGGATAAGTTACTGTGAACTATATCTGGTGAGTTGCATAGTGTATGTTTTGTGTATTGGATACATAAGCAAATAGATTTTTTAAAACATGTTTTGAAATTCCATATTTATTATTTGCTTAATTAAATTAGAAATGCCAAATATAAAAGGATTAAAATTAATCAATATTAGTTTTTCAGTTATGACTATTTTCGGAGGATCATCACAAGGTGCATGTTTGGCTGATTTATCCAGTTCATGTCCCGCATTGACTGGAACATCCAGTCATGTATTCTTGAACTTAATTAGCTCGCTTCTGTTGGCCCAATGTGACTTCAATACCAAATCATTCCTGCCTGAAGACCAAAGCCATGATCTGAAATGGATGCGAAACGACTTCGATTTCGTAATTATAGGTGGAGGTTCGGCAGGCTGCGTTCTCGCCAATCGACTATCAGAAAATTCAAAATGGAAGGTGTTGCTGGTAGAAGCTGGTGACTATCCATCATCGACCACCAGAGTAAAATATTAATTAATATAATTAAGAGTCTAGATTAATGGATTATTCGTAGATTCCGCAACTGCTAATTAGCTCTTGGGGAACAGAAGAGGACTGGCAATACAGGACAGAACCATCGAATAACTACTGTTTGAGCTTCAAAGACAAAAGATGCAATTGGCCTAGAGGTAAAGTTCTCGGAGGCACCAGTCAACTGAATGGAATGCTTTACATAAGAGGCATTCCCGAAGATTACGATTCTTGGCAGCGCTCCGGTAATAACGGCTGGGGATATAAGGATGCGTTAAAATATTTCATAAAGTCGGAAAATCTGCAGTCTCCAGGCTACGATCACAATTTACATGGATACGATGGTTACCTGAAAACATCTCGAGTCGAAGTTCCTCCCGTTTTGGCCAAACATTTGTCGGAAGCCGCCGATGAAATGGGTTTGCCCAAAATTGACGAAGAATTAGAAATCGGTATCGGCAAATTCTTGATGAACCTTGCCGATGGTACTCGAAGCGACACCGCTACAGCTTACTTGTCCCCGATTCGTGACAGAACCAATTTGGTTGTTGCCTTAAACTCGGAAGCAACGCAAATCAACTTCGACACAAACAACACTGTGAAGGAAGTTATAATCAAGACAAAGAACGGAAATGTTAAAGTAAGACCTAAAAAGGAGCTGATCCTTTCAGGGGGAACCGTGAATAGTCCTAAATTGTTATTGGCGTCGGGCGTGGGCCCCAAAGAAGATTTGGAAAAGCTTCATATTAAAGTCGTGAAGAATTTGCCGGTGGGACATAATCTGCAAGATCATTTCGTGACGTTCGGTCTGATAATCAAATTGAATTCGACTAGCGAGACCTCGCCTTCACTCGAAATCCAAGATCAGTTCAAATATTTCACGGAGCGCAAGGGTTCCCTTGCAGCAACTGGAATAACGAACATGGCAGGATTTTTCGATCCTGCAGGAGGTTCGCGACGCATGCTGCAATTTATGTTTTTCAACCACTTGAAAGGATCGTCTACCTTCAAAACAATGGCAACCAAGTTGGGTATGAACCAGGAGAGCATGGACGACATTTTGGAGATTAACAAGGAAAACGAAATCATGGTTATGGAAGTTATTTTGCTGAGACCTAAATCCACCGGATTCATCAAGTTGGCATCGAATCATGTATCGGATAAACCCCTGATTATACCCAACTATCTAAAAGAAGAAGAGGACGTTAACTTGATCCTAGATGGAATTGAGTACATGAAAAAGTTCATTGATACTGAATCGATGAGAAAACTGAACGCGCAAATAATCAACTTCAAAGCAGCCAACTGCGATGGAATTGAGTTCAATACGAAAGATTACTGGAAGTGCAACATAAGGAATTTCGGAAATAGCCTGTTTCATCCCACAAGCACTTGCAAAATGGGTATAAAGGATGCCGTCGTTGATATGAGATTGAAAGTGCATGGCATGAAGAATCTGCGCGTCATCGATGCCAGTATCATGCCGAGCTTAGTCAGCGGAAACACCAATGCTCCAACAATTATGATTGCTGAGAAAGGAGCTGATTTAATTAAAGAGGACAATGCAGAATAAATATAAAGTTACCATTTACAAAATTTTAAATAAAACAAATCTGAAACTTCACTAATCTTCTATTTAATTACCTTTTTTTATTATTAAACAATTTTCAAACGTTCGCTTAAATACAATTAAAATATCATAGCATATTTTCTGCATACTTTTTTATTGACGATATGTTTAAACCAAATATGTGTACATTTTGTGGTTTCCTTATTCATTTTTAACTAAGCACATCATATAGACGTTCCTGGTAATATCATCATAGTATTCATTTTTAAGCACCAATCAATTCACAATTATTGCAAATTCTACTAAAGATAATAAGAAAACATGTAATTTTCTATATGTATCAAATCATGAATTTGCAACTTGCAGAAGCAGAAGCTTTGTTTTTAATTAATGACCTCATTTTTTTTGTTTAACATTTGAAATAATAAACAACTAAATTGGTCATAGCCTTATTATGTAATCCCGTTGTATTATACTGTATCATGATGTAATATACTCAATTTTGTAAGTCTGACGTTAATCACTTCGAAATTATTTTGTGATAATATTTAGCAGTAACAATAAAACTGAAAAATATTCAATTTTTCTTGTGCTAGGCCCATCTACTTTGTAAAAACTGTCAATTTTTTTTGTAATTATATCATTTTATGAAACGAAATATGTATTTTTTCTAAATTATACAAATGAACTTACCTTTATATAAAGATGATGCAAACCACATTCAGTATTAAACACATGAGATAATAAATTGAAATTTCATTTCTTAATTCGACTATGATTTGTAAGTCATAAAAATTAAAAATGCGAATATTTCGTAAACACTACTCGATAATTGTCAAATATTGACAAATATATAGACTAAAAGGCCATCTGGATTCTTTGTTTTAATTTGAATGGGTTGTCAAAATTAAAAATAACAAAATAAAATTCATAAACATTGTAATATATTTTAGGCTTTCATTTAGTTGAAATGGTTTAAAATTACATAAATTGCATGGTCTAAAATTCCTATCACAAACAAGAATTATGGCAAAATATAAATTATAGTATCGAGCAAGCCCTCAAAAAATATATATATCTTTATGTCATCATATAAAAATATTCGTATATACTACAAAAAAAAATCTGAATCACATATCAATTAAATTCAATATATATATATATAGAAACTAATTACATAAAATGCGCATCATAATAAAAGAAAAGGTTTAAAATCTTAAATAAATAAGTACTTTAAAAATTATAAAAAGTCATCAGTAAAATTTTGGCCACGTAAATTGAATAAAAAATAATCCATTGTCTTTGTTGCTGTCGCGGATTAGAAGAAATAAAATAACGTTTCAGTTGATATGATGTGAGATTATTGCTGTTGCATTTGAACCTTCATTTGAGCTAATAATTCTGTCATTCGCTTAAGCTCAGCTTCCTTCTCCTGCAGGATCCTATCTTTATCATTTAAGGCACCGTTCTTGTCGTCGATTATGGTATTGCGCTTGGGCGGCGGCGGAGCGCCTTTAGCCAGTCGCTCAGATCTATAGTTCTCGTAGTGTACCTGTTGCGTGATCTCTTGCAAATCCTGCATGTGTGTTATGAGCATCGTGCGTAATTTGATGAAATCGCAATGGTCGGGATTCTCGACTTCCACCACACCCCATGGGTACAACCTTCCTCTAACCTTCCTGCCGCGCACCTCCATCAGTGTGTTCGCCCCGCAGACGGCGAAGGGTACGGCCTGCTTCAGTTGTCTCACCTGCTCCTTGTACTCCTCGTCCTCATCCGAGTCGCATTCCGGTAGCGAATAAATTCTGATACCGTTCTTCGCGATCTCGTCCAGCACCGTCGTCTTCAGCTTAAGCATCTCCTTCTTGGTCAGTACATCGGCTTTGGCAATGACAGGAACTATATTGACTTTATTGTGCAGTTGTTTCATGAACTCGATGTCCAACGGCTTCAGACCGTGTCCGAACGGGGAGATGAAGTAGAAGCAGCAGTGGATCCGATTGTCCATGATGTTCTTACGGTTCAAGCCCGACTCGTCCCGCAGGAACCTCTCAAACTGATCATCAATATAGCTGATGATCTCGGTGAAACTATCGGTGTTATTAATAGCATCCCCGTAACCCGGCGTATCGACGACAGTCAATCGCAGTTTAACGCCGCGCTCCTCGATCTCAACTGTCGATGGTTCCAACTTAACCGTCTGGTTGCTCTTCTCTGCAAATGAATAGCGTTACAGATACACAAATACACATAAACATTATATGTACTTACCGACGGCATCCGGGATGACTCTTTCTGGGTAGAGGTCGGTGAGAAAGAGAGCGTTCACGAGTGTCGACTTGCCAAGACCACTTTCTCCGACGACCATCAGCGTGAACTCGAATCCCTTCTTCACCGACTTCCTGTGCACCTGATTCGGCAGGTTCGCGAAACCCACATATCCAGGCGTCTCAAGGCCAGAGAACTGAAACCGCACAAAAGAAACGTAATCATATTATCGTGTATCATATGCGTAACAAGATTAGAAAGTATTTCCAGCAACTCTGCGTTCCGGTCCCTACGAGTTTTCCAGGTAAAAACAATACAATGAAGATAAGGGTTTTTCAGGATAATTCTTAGTATGGACTGAGATAACAGTAGTAATCTTTTGTTTGGCACACGTAAATCACAGATTTGTTAATAATGAATAGGAAAAGTTTAGAAACACCATCCAGAAGAAAATAAATTGTATATTTTAACACTAACCTTGTTCATCTTATTTAAACAATCTCACGTTTCAGATGCAACTGCAATTATAGCACTGACACTGAATGGTACTGAAAATAGTTATGTTACGGTTCGCTTATGATTTCGGTTTTGCTTATATGCAGTGGCGATGGAAATTGTACTGTTACAAAATTGAATTTCCATCAACTTTTGGATTTTGGCCCCATTCGTTGAAGGAACAGTTAACGAAGACAAACAGACGTGCACGAGTGTCTGGTCTTTGCTTTATACACACGTACGGCCTGCTCTGTGTGAACAGACTGGTCAAGAAATTTCGCTTTTATTTTATTTTTTTGTTTACAACAGAGTGTAACCCTCTTTTGTCTCTGTCGCTCTTTCTGTTTCTTCTGTTCTGTTAACCCCGACGAAAGTGGATATGACTCAGAGTGCGGTCGTCGAAGAGAGATAAAAGTAATTAAATGCTAAGAACTTACAGATTTCGCCGATTCGCTGGTCATGTTTACCAATTTGAGTTATTTTGTTTGGGAATTATCGTTGGGCACAACCGGCGCCGCGCGATTCTCTCTTATATTGAAAACCTAACCGAACGAAAACAAATGCAACAACAACACAACCGAAAACAAATGATTTGATTTGGCGTTGCTGTGGATTGGTGGGGCGGATAATGTCAATGTTCGTGCCCGATTTGTATGCTATGCTTTATGCTGTCTTCGGTGGCGCCGGCCCAAACTAATCAACGGCCATCATATTGTTTGGGGGCGCTGCAAGTCGTCTGTCGCTATTGCTGCATAAGCTGCAAATTGCAGACAAACATTAAGGCGTGGTCATCAAAAACAACAACAAAATTATAATTCAACATCACTATTTCATCTACCATATTCATATTATCTTTCCATTGTATTAGAAAACATTGATATTGTTACAATGATAGTCTTCAGATTCAATATTAAGTCTGCTCATGTAACGCCATCTGCAACTAGTTTCAAACACCATTAGAAATAATATTTTTAAATTTAAATATCATTAAAACTATGATTAATAAATTCAAAACTTGTTTCTTTTAATTGTATTATTTTATATAGTAACTCATTTAATTCATACACACTATAAGAATAATTAACAGCAATATGTAAAGTGTATATTCTTTTCTGTAGTTAAGTAACATTAATTATACATTAGTACTTTTCCAAACTAATTATAACTATAGATAAAGTAACTAAATAAGAGATATAATCTAATATACTTCAGATACTGGCATAATGTTATTACAAATAAATGTTATATTTTCTTACTAAAGATTGTTTTTAAATTCCACATAACTTTAAAAAATAGGTTTGAAAATAGTTATTAACTTGTAAAGGCGTGTTAAAACCTAACTATTGATATTAAGTAAACAATAATAAATATTCATTAAAATATATTGTAAGTGTTTAAAACAATCATACACATTTACTATTTTATTTTTTAATCAACATTGGAAAAAACACATTTTTCTAGTATTCTTCAAATTTAATTAAGAAATAACAAAACATTGGGTTTTCTTGAGTAAGTTTAGATAAAACTTATCGGACTACTGCACAATGCAGGAAATGTCGTCACTGATAGGCATGTCATAGATTATTCGCAATACTCATTTCCATGTGAATTCACGTGAAAACTCATTTTATTTCGAATTATGTTTGCATGTATCAATACAAGCAAACTATTATTGCTTATCATATTCTGTCTATGTATACTTACAACGTTCACAGCGACGCACATGGTTTAAATAAATATTTGGAACTTCCTTTACATACAAAAAGGAAAAGAAAGTTATTTCAGTAGCAGATGTAGTATATATGAATAAGTGTATATATCGGTTAATTTGAATGCAGAAAGAAATATATTATCAATCTAAAAGAAAACACTAATTAATAATTTATGTTTACATGTTTATCAAAGACGTTCTGTAATTAATTGATAATAAAAATCTTGCAACTTCAACTGGTAAATGGTTTCAACTTCAGCCTTTAAATGTTCTATTTTATTGAGGTATTACAAATGTGATTGGAATTTTTTGAATGAAAGGCTTGTTATTGCTCCACGGTGAATTCTATATACAACGTAAAAGCTTGTATACTAACAATAATCTCTTTCATTCGAGTGTACTACATATAAATAAACATAGTACACATACGTACGGAATGTTATATACACACAACAAATTACTTTTTTACTCTTCACATTAACACATTTGTATTGGACATTAATGAAGAAATAATTATCAATTTTATCAAAACAAAGTTTTATTGTAATTATATGTGTATTGTTATAAACTATATATAAATTACTCATTGATTTGAATTCTCAACATTCTTTCCATTCAAGTCACATCTTCGTATAACTTTTAACATGTAAAACATTATTAAAATCGGTGGCAATCGCAAGCCCGACAACCGAAATACCGTCAATCGAAATCTCGACAATGTCTTTTATTATTATAAATTTCTACAATAACATTTTTATGGTAGTCGGGATTTTGATTGTCGGGATGTCGATATAGTCGGGATTTTGATTATCGCGATTATGGTAGTCGGGATTTCAAGCGTCAGGATTTAAATACAGTCGGGATTTCGGTACAGTCGGTATTTCGATACAGTCGGGATTTCAATAGACGGTCTTTCGGTTGTTTAAAATAATATGTATTCATTCTATAAATACTATACGTAAATTCTTGAATTTTCTTTCCAAACTTATAAATATCAGATCCAAGAAAATAAGGCAAATGTTTAAGTTGTTTTTTGTAAGGTAAACTAGAAATTTTGTAAAGATTTTCAACATAAAACTTAATGATTTAAGTAGTACTAAACATAATAAACATAAAATATATTCATGACCCACGTAAAAACCAAACATTTCTGTTAACAATAATCCAGACAGAAAGACTTAGTTGGTCAATCATTATATAATAATTCATTAATTTTGGTACGTGAATAAAACTTTTGTTTTTATAAAAAGAAACGAATGTTAATTTATAATTTATTTCAATGTTAAAGGCTTAAAATTAAAAAATAAAATAAACAATTATTTTTACTTCTGTATTGTGGTTTTGAGATATTAATTACAATGCAATCTGATTGTAGAATCTGCACCGGAGGAGAAGACCCAGGGTTGATGCGGATGGAATTTGACATCAAAGACGCCGAAGTCATTGACCCTTTTATGCTCCTCGAATCTCTTCAGTGGTACGATCAAGGCGTTTTGAAGAAGATCGCTGAAAAAGATAAGAGAAAGAATTATTATAGACATTCTGTAATAGATTTTGATCAATGAAAACTTACTTGTAAACCATGCCATGGGACACGATGACACCAGTATCATCAGATCCAGTGGCAAACAGAGGATAACGCTTGTGGTATGCAATAGCACGAACGGCGGTCGGATGAAGTCTCAACGTTTGGTATGGTTTCGTACTCAAATCCAAATCGAACCACAAAACTTTCCTATCGTATGTGGCTACCAGTAAATTATCACCGCCAGGGTGAATATCCATCTTCGACACCCATTTGGATTCCGTCGTCAGCTTCTTGACCATCGCCTGTTTCAGCAAATCGTATACACGGACATGCCTTTGGGTTGCCACGAAGAACATCGGTCTTGTTGGATGGAATAATACGCATTGTACCAAGCCTTTCGGTTTCGCCAAAGGTATTTGCGATCTCCTCTTGGACAACTGACTTATCAGAACCGCCTTATTCGCGCCTTCCGGCATAACGGTGGCGAAGTAATCACCCTTACCATGCCATGTAACTTGCGCCACTTCCTTGAAGTGCTTCAATATCAAACGGAAGCCCTTGGCGTATTCCTCCTCCGTCGGATCCACCCACTGAACCGTCGTTTTAACTTTGTCGGATATAATTAAGTCACTAAGAGGCGCCTCCTTCAAGAGCTCATCAGTTTTCTCGCAAACTACGTAGTCACCGATGTTCGGATTAATTAGGATCACACGGTTGCTAGCAGCGACAAGGATTAAGTTAATTGCAGTATTTGGACACCATTCGACGCTCCTCACAATTCCCTCGACCGGAATTGTTTTGACGCAACGTCCAGTATTAATTTCCCAGATTTTGATTGTCGTATCGTCAGAACCTGAGACCATATATTGTCCAATTTTATCTACACTAATGCAACGAACCATATCAGAATGGCCTTCATATATGATGGACTGCACAGATGGGAACGGTTGCAGATCCTTTGGACTCGGCAGTTTTGGTACAAGATCCTCCGGTTCGATTGTCAGACGCATTTTAATAGCACGCGGACAAAGATACAAATCGAGACACCGCAAGAACCTTTCTTTGATAAACCTCGAGTAACTTGGGACTTTCCTCAAAGAATCGTACTTTTGTGGTAAGAAATGCAACTTGCGTTTGCTCGGAGTCTCTTCGTATTTCTTCCATAGCTTCATCTCCTTCTCGTTGAAAAGATATTCAGCTGGCGGATTGTAAGATTCAGCATGACCCGGTAAAGCTCTTTTCGGCGCTGAAATATGTTTATAAATTCTCCTCATGTGCTCAGCTTGATCATCAGATTCCCACAGCATATAGAAATTCATGGCATCCTTCTTTGTGCGCTCCTTTTCCTTTTCCGCTAACGTTTTCAGCCAGCCCATTTTTAATGAATGCACCAGCTTGGATACTTTCTTGGCTTCACTTTTGCTGGGCAAGAAGGAACGCTTGTGCTCGGGGAATTTCCTTACCGGCATTTGCATCACCTCGGACGTGAACCATTCTATCCAAGGTGCGTACTCGTCGAATTGCGCGTCCGGATTCCTTCTCGCCTGTATTCGGCGAATCAATTCAATATCTTGTTCACTCAGCACAACATCTTGACCAGTCTGAGGATCTTTTACTGTCCTCCAGAAATCAGGATCTTCCATTTTCTTCAAAAATTCATCCAGCTGATCTCCCTGTGGAGGCTTCAATATTTTCTTACCATCCCAATTATAACCAATATGTTTGTATTCATCATACCACTTCATTGGGATATTTCCTACTGTGTTCCTAATATCTTCATCGTCAGAAGAATCATTTTTATACTCATCGTCTTCCTTATTATCATCATTTTTAACTAATTTAGTTAAAGAACTCACACTTCCTCCATCCGCTTTATTTTTTGATGATTTTGTTTTTGATTTAGTTTCACTCAAAGATGTACCATTCTTTGGTTTGTCTTCTTCCTCCTCATTCTCTGAACTAGTCCAACCCTCATTCTCTTCATCTTCCACACTTGAGACATCATCTTCTTCATCATCAATGTCATCCTCCTCTTCATTTACATCATCATCTTCTTCTTCATCTGCATCGTCTTCTTCTTCCTCAACATCGCTGTCATCATCATTTCCATTTGTTGCACTCTCTAAAACATCTTCAACTTCTCCATCACTTTCCTCAATGTCCCTGTCTGAATCTGAACTATCTGCATCTTCTTCATTGTTAATAACATTTAAAAGATCATCTGTTTCCACCTAAAATAAAGTATGCTTAAATCTGAACCTAAGTATGTTTATGTTTAGTTAACTTACATCGCTTTCTTCGTTGATCTCTTCCTCAATTTTCTTGGGAATATGTTCCTCTAATTTCCTCTTGTTCCTTGCTCCCTTCTTGGCCATTTTTTGAGTGTGCAGTACAAAAACATCAAATATTAACTAAGCGTAGATAAAAGTAAACACGTGAACAATTGCAGGTTAGGGGACTTTCAAATAATAGACGAAATTGTAAGAGAGGGTAAGTGCGTAAGCAGTTGCATAACTGCTTATTTTTGTAGTTATACAACTAGACGTACGCTTGTTGTTTTGATAATTCAAAGAATTCGTGAATACGTTAGAATAGCATAAACTTTATTAAATAAATCAATAATGTTGCATACTGGACGTATTATCGATGAGATTCAGTATGTGAGAAGCTTGATCCATGGTAAGTACAGAATGCTGGTTACTTGCAACCCTTCGAATTCGCCCATGCACACATCATATTATCACGGCATATTTAGTGCATGGTTCCATATGTAAAGTAAACACGTGCAGAAGCTTCTGTGCAAGCTGAAATGGTTAAATCGTTGCGTACGGTCTGCATACGTAACGCGAACGAAAATCGATAGAATCTTAAATATGTTGTTAGAGCTGCATCTGGTGATTTTACAGTTGACAACCCAGTTTTAGGGTCCGCCTGGGTAAATATTTCGCAGGCCATTCAAGCTAGTCTTCCACCACGCCGACAAATAAATTATTAAGCCTGGATCAATATTGTTAATACATTCTACACCCTTGCTCTCTTGCACTGCCCCTCAATCAATACCAACGAGAAAATATTTATTGCATATTAATTACTGCACCCTCTACCTACTAGAACAACGAAAACAATGTACACGATGATTACGCAACGTTTTGTAAAGAAATGCGTTCGTCTTAGAAAATAAAATCAATCAAGAGAATAAAATGCATTCGAATAATGAGTGCAACGCCACCAGAGACATCACATAAATTACAATATTTTCTTTGTCTGCTATGTTGTTAAATAATAACGGCTATGTAACGTAAAATACGGGCGGAAGAACCGATGTCGGCGACTCTTAATATAATAAACATTAATATTAAGTGCTGTAACTGAAGACAAACGTTATCTTCAACAAAACAATTCTAAATACAGGACAAAAAATATTTTTTTACCGATCAAATGCGTTTCAATCGCGTTAAAGAATTCAATGTAAAATATATTGAATTATGAAGTTCGTAAATGGATTCGAGCGAAGGATGCTACCGAAAATTTTGATTTTGTCTTTCCCAAACAACATTTTCGTTCGACAGTGGAAACAATCCGCCATTTCGTGTCCCCCACTCGCTGTAAAGACAAACAATTTCAAAATCACACACTATGTTTAACACGGTTTGGGACCCTCATGGTTTTATACCCTCGTTCTGTTTCTGTTTAAGGGTTCTGTTTTGTTTCTCTTTCTTTCTACCATATTTGTTTTAAAATCCCAAGCATCAAACAGAAAACACGATCCAAACTTTTTACTAAATTCATCTTCCAACAATATTTTATTGTACACTAGTTTTTACTTTATTTAATTAGATTTATTTTATCAATATAAATTTACGTTATTTGTTCGTATCGACACTATTAATTAATTGTTAATATCAAATAATAAAAATAATAAAACAACAAAAATTGTTGTTAATTTAAAATGTTTATAATAATTTTATTTATTTTTATTTGAGATATAAAAAAAAATACAAATAAGTTTTGAAATATCTCGTTATAACGGAACTATTTGAAATAATTAAATAGGACCATCAATATCTTTGTTACTAGATTTTAGATATAATAATCATATTTGTATTCTGACAATCGATAATAATTTGTAGTATCAAGAAAATAATATAATCTAGTTAACTAATTTTTCAATTTACGTTTTTTTTTTGTTAAATAACAGTTGTTTTTTTTTTGAAGAAGCAATGTCAACTGTCTGTCTGGTTCGAGCATCCATTACGACCTGAACCAGTTTTTTTTTTGTGTTTCGTTTGTTTGCACTAATGCATTCAATTTAACGGAACCTTCGACTTTCCACAGAAATCTAAATCTAAATGGATATATTAAAAGGAAAACGACAACACCTGAACGTGCAAACGGAGCACAGTTGAAATATAAACGAACCACTTATTGACATTTTAATTGCATTAAGAAAGTATGTAATTCAATTACGAAATGTATCGCTAATATGATTATTTAATTGTACGTATAGTTTGAAACATTAGTTTGGTTATATTTCCCAAACTGTCTTCATTTATAAACAATATAGATTTCAATAAAATCTTTGTTCTTTTGCGCCAAGACTTGTTTATTTATATCGATTGATAATTGCTGTTTTTCTATTTATTTATTCTTAGATAAGTTATATTTTGTTAGATAAGATACAATAATCAAAGAATTCTATATTTTGAACTTCATATCAACGTATTTATTTGTTTTTCCCATGTTATTTAAATTATTATATTATAATAATTTGTTGATGGAGTATTGTGATTATATAAGGCATAGTCAAGAACAGTTCAGGTTATTATTATTTTTATTCTCGAATCGTGTTTACTTGTTTATACTAAAACTAATACTAACAAAAACATGCTTGTAATATTTATTTAAGTTTGCTCAGTTGATAAATTATACTTCATAGTGAACAACAATTTGAAAATTTCCTGCCTAGATAATAAAAATAAGATTGCCGTGCTCATATAACTTTCTAAACAAAATGATAACCTTGAAGTTGAAGTTTTTTTAATATTTTGACTTATGTCAGGTACATGACGTTTCGACGCTTACGAGAGTTAAGCATCGGATGGATGACTAAGGTAGCACTCTATACCTTCCGACCATGTGCATTCTATGATGTTAAGATTTAGTTCTACTTAAAATTCTATTTTTATTGGAAAATGATTCGAAGTATTCGTAAAACGAAAAAAGAACAATTTATGAATTAATATTATTTAAATTATAATTTTTCATAATATTTTGCAGAAGTAATACAAAAATATAAACATTTTTACCTGTTTCTTTCAACGTAATTTATAACAAACAGTATTTTTCTCAGGAATTTGCCTGGCATTTTAACATTTTAGTTTTGTGCCCTTGGAGTGCAGTTATAAGCTTGCCCAGGTCTTAAATATACACGTTTTATAAAAATTTCCTGGAAAATAGGTACGGACCAGGGCGCACCCACAAATTTAACTCTAAGACTGAACAATACAACAAGTTTCTTATAATTTTAGCAACATTTATTTTTTTAAGTTATTTAAGTTATTAAAGAAAAGAAGGTACTTCTTGTACTTTTAGTATTAGCGAATACAGTGGAACCTCGCATAATGAGCATTTCGCTTAACGAGCAAAATGAATTGTAAGAAAAATCACTCGCTTAACGAGCGACCATGAGAAGAAAAGTCCCGGATTACGCGCCTGCTCCATCATTTTTACATACATACGTGTATTTTTGAATATGTTTCACTATACGAGTAAAAATCCGGAAATTTTGGATCGGATTAAACTCGTAAAGCGAGATTCCACTGTATTACAATGAAAAAGTATTGACATTTGACAGCATTTGTCAAAATATCCTTACGAAACTTTCAATATATAAATATTATGTAACGTTGATAACGTGTATAAAACGAAGATTTGACATTTGCAAAGCAGTTCCCAAAATGTTAACCCACTTTGAGAAACACTGATCTAAATCTTTACTATTGGTAATTTAATTTTCTCTAAAGTATAACTAAAATTTGTTTCTTATTTTTAATTGAAAAATCTTGCAAGTAATTAGATAATATTAAAATGCAATAAAGTATATTATTATACAGGCAAAATAATTGCTTTCGATGTCGTTAGTTCAGCCTTTTTTAATGTTAAAACTAAAATCTTTGTTACCTGAGATTGATGAAATCAACGAATTTTCTATTGTTGGAATAACAAAAAGTTTCTTAAAAACTCCGAAAAGAAACATATAAGAAATCAGAAAGATTATTGAATATCCAAGCAATAATTAATGATAAGAACATTTTCTGATGTACACGAACATCAGAAAATGTATGATTAAGTTTTTTTTTTGTAAATTTATACAATTATATAAATTAAAATTTTGCCATTTAATTGTTTATTGTTAAACAATTATACGGCAATTTAACAATGACATTAAATGACCATTAAAAATAAATTTATTTAATTTTTAAATGTTAAGCAGATGTTGAAAACACTAAAATAGTATATAATATAAGAATCTTTCATTATTTTAGATTAATAATTAATATGACGATATTTTTTTAAAATAAGTTCAATGTTAACATCTAATCTAATTTAGTTTAGGATTAACGTTTGATTTCTAACCCGAAGATTAAAAAAGGACAAAGGTAAATAATCAAATTAATATTCGAAATTGTGTATTTTCATCAGTACATGTTTGACTAATGGTTATATTCTAAATTATGATGAAACCGCAATTAATAATCGTTCTCATTCGAAGATTATATTATTTATTGATATTTATATTTTGATCGAAAGTGTCTTGAATTTACTTCTAATTAAACTTTCTATTTGCGTATTTTTGATATTGAAGCTATGAAAACTTAGTCAATAATTGTTACTTTTGAATGTTTGTTCATATATTATTTTTTAAGAATTAAACAACTATAATCTTGGAATAGAATAATTAATGATTTTATTAAAAATCTGTACTGTAAAAACTAAATTTATTAAATTTAAAAAATATGTGTTAACATTGAAGAATGATTTAAGAATTGTTTAATGAATGTTCTTAACTGAAACAGTGGTTGAAAGCCCTTAGTAGTTGACCTCAATTAAACCTTCTATTAATGGATTTTTGACAATGATATTAAGATAGTGATCAAGAAAAATCTGTGTATGTAAAGATGGAGATTATATAAAATCAAGTGTAAATAGAGAAGAGGAGAAAAACTGATATGGGCGAGAAAATGAAAATTGTATTTTATGGCGCAGCAATAAGGAGTAAAATGTTGTATGTGCAGTGAGTGAGCAGTTACAGTTGGGATGGTAAAAGTAGAAAGTTACGGCGACGTAGGGTGCACCCCTAGCTGAAAAATTTAAACAACGCGAACGTAAATTATTGATTTCCCAGTAAGGATTATTATAACCACCCTTGTACAATAAAAACCATTTCTTCCATCGCAAACAGCACAAGCAAAACCAACTCCCCACTCTACTCCTTCTCCTCCCTGAAAATTTATGTTAATTTCTGTCGCCTCCCTTCTACCCCCTCTACCCCGAGCGATCCCTAAAACCACCCCGACTGCACTTTATCAAAACGGCGAAACGGCGTACAGTCGGAAAAAATATCCTTGCGTTCGATTCGGGAGTAATACGTCTGCACAGGGTACGTTCGTATATATATAGATATATACATGTGCAGGTATAGGTGCGAGTGCATGTTTGGTGTTGGAGAGTGCAGGGATTGAGGTGCCGAGAAGAATAAGGATCGGGAGCTTAATAAAAGGTAGGAAGACTTTAATGAAAAAGGGGGTTAGAAAGAAGAAAAGAATCTTAGGATTTGCGTTGCATCCATCCATCCGTCTATCAATCAATCTGTTATCCTTATATCCTTCCATCGTTGCATCCCCCGAACGGGAAAGTGTGTTGTGCGTTGGCGGCGGTGGTGGCGGCGGCAGTGGTGGTTGTTGTGTTGTCCCCTCGAGTGTGGCCGACAGTCGCACTCTTCTCTCGCACACGGAGTCAACACGCATTCGGCGGAGGGACGCAAACGATTGCGTTTCCTTTTGGTTTTTGTTTTTCGGTTTCGTTTTGGGGGTGAAAAGAAGAAAAAGAATACGAAAGAGGAGGTACGTGAGAGGATCTTAACGTAAGGGAGGACGCACGAGAGAAGGAAGGAGAATCGGCGACGAACGGCGGTGGCGAGAGACCAGAAAGACGGAAAGAGAGGATATTTGTTGTTGGTCGGGTCAAGAGGGAGCCGAGGGGGAGAGAGCGAGCGTGTGTAAGAGAGCGAGTGCCGAGTTGCAAGGGGAATTAGTTAGTTGACTGTACCCAGCCGGCATCTGTACAAATGGCGTTGATCTAAATATAAATATTATATTTATATAAAAGTGTATTTTGTGTGTATATGAGTGCTTGTGTGATTGTGTGTGCGAAGAAGAATTGTCGTTCCGGTGGTGGTGTTGTTGTTTAACGTGTGCGGGCAATTAACGAAAGAAGTAGCAAAAAAAAAACAAGAAAAATAAGGTAACCGCTGCTGCTGGTGGTGCTGCATGCCGTACGACGAGTGCTGCTGCTGCTGCTTGGAGATCATCCCGCGGCGGAGCGAAAAAAAGGTACAAGTCTCGAAGCCCTAGGTGCGAAATTAACGATTGTTTACGCTAAAATCGCGTATTTCTGCACCCCCTGCATAGAGCGAGAGAGACCCGATATCGGTAAGCCCTCAGCTCAGAAGCACGTCCGATCGTTGCATCTCTCTCCCTCCATCCACAACTTAACCCCCGTGAGCCGACGTAAGTCGACGGTACGTCCTCCCCGCGCCCGACTCCGCACTCCCGCTGCTACCCAATATAATTATTTAACTCTACATTTTGCATTAAAAGTTCCTTATTGATTTTTCCGCGTTTTTTCTTCCGACCCCTCGCAGTTCCGTTCGAATGATTTGTGCGGCCCCATTTCGCACCCTTCGCTTCAATATCAAGGTAACGAACGTACGTACGTACGTGCATGCACGATTCGCCGATTTTGTTAAGAACATTCCCAATATATTTTGGGGGTTAGACAATATGGCGAGGCGTCCTTTTATATAATTACGACGTTTCGACGATGTAAACGCCGCCCCCAGGCCCCCTCGCCACCATTAATTGCCCGATTTTGTTTATTAATAGCACGTTTAAATAATATTTTAATAAATATGGAGCCCAAAAGATCCCGTCTATAAATAACACCCGTTTTATTTATAGACAGGGGACCCATCGCGTTAATATTCATTTGTTAATTACATTACTCTACTATCCGCATCATCATCATCATCTTCGTCATCTTCTTCATACCATCAACATTATCTTTTGTTCCAAATTTCTCCTCGTATTCTTTTCATCTTCTTTATTATTTTTTTTTTTTGAAGCACCCCCCTCCCACAATACTCCGAACATGTGCTGTGAATGAAAGTGAATCCCATGCACATACCACGTTATTTTTCCCGCTCAAAACGCACAACACAACACCAATTTAATTTCAATTTAAAGAGCGCCCTCTACAACAAACATGAATAACGCAACATAATTAATATTCACGTTTAAACGGGCAACAACTGCATCGAGCCTTTTCCGTTTTGCAAGCGGAACAACAACAACAAAGGCAACAACAGCAGCAGCAACAAATATGAAACGGCGTACAATTGAACGATAAAAATAACTAAATTGTTTATAGCGAATGAGGCGAAATTATTTATAACGAAACGAACGGTGTTGCCAAATCGACGTTGCCCGATCTGCGTGCTAGAGGACCGGCCAGAATCTCCGTATTCTAATTAATATTTTGTTTTAATCCTTTAATTGCTTTATATTTTTGGCTCATCTCCAAGGTGCAACCTTTTTATTCTAAATGTTAAAAATAAATTGCAATCCGCTCACACACTCTTATACACATATTCTAAAGCGATTGCAAAGATCTTGGCGGAATTATATTATATTGTAGTTCTATTCCGCCGAAACGTTTATTAGGAAATTTTCATTGCGCTATTTTTATACTCTGTTACTAATGTTTTATATTTATATATATACACACATACATATTTACTTTTGCAGTCTTATTCATTTATTTCTTTTCTTCTTTCATTTCAGACTTTTTGGATAACAATCATCAAAGCAACAAGAGAGAGACAACAATTTTTTATAGCATATATTTTATATATAGAGAGATATATATATATACACCTATTATATTGTCTAGTATTTTTTAGACAAAGAATCTAGCGAGTAGGCATATAGTATTATTCATGTACTAAGAACAATATTTTGTGCTTTAAAACGAGTTAGAACTATCTATCGAAGATGGTTACTCCGCCGCAGCAGTTTTGTGTTCGATGGAATAGTTACCAATCAAATCTACAGAATGCTTTCCCCAAGCTTCTCATCTCCGAGCATTTCGTCGATGTTACGTTGGCTTGCGAAAACGAGATGCTCAAGTGCCATAAAGTCGTCCTATCCGCTTGCTCGACGTACTTTGAGAAGCTTTTGCTTCAGAATCCCTGTCAGCACCCCATTATATTCATGAAGGACATGAAGTAAGTATAGCAACATTCGGCGTCTCGTGGACACCGTCTTAATCATCTATGCGTTTCTTTTACAGGTTTCAAGAGATGCAATCCCTCGTTGATTTCATGTACAAAGGTGAGGTGAACGTCACGCAGGACGATCTGCCATCGCTTCTGAAGTCGGCGGAGGCCCTTCAGATCCGCGGCCTCTGCGGATCTGATCAACTTCTCAGTCAACAAAATTTAAATAACATTAAAACTTCCTCGACGCCGAAGACGTCACAGGAGAAGCCTGTCACGAATGCGAACGCCAAAGTTTCTTCCGATCAGCCTCAGCAGACACAGCAGAATCAATCACAGCAACAGCAGACGCAGACGCCCAAGGGGGTCGCGAAAAAAGAGGAAAAGACTGATACACAACAAACGGCGGCGAGCGCTGACGGTACCCTTAATCCATCCTCTTCCGAATGTGATTCGAACGATGCCTCAACTATTATCAAAGGTAAGCACGCACTACGACCTATTTTCGATGACACTAATCTAACGCTTTCTTATTTTTCTATTGCTCAGAGGAATTGGACATTAAAGAGGAGTACGAGGATGCGTACTACGATGGAGAAGGTGATCTTATGGATACAGAATTTACAGAAGAAGACGGACCACTTAATAATAGTTTGCTCATGAAATCTCCAGACTATGCTATTGCCAATGTTTCGTGTCAGTATGATGGAAGTCCAGGTAAAGTATTTTCTAATATAAATCACATATTCTATATCAGTGATTCTCAAAGTGTGGGTCGCAAAAAACATGACGGCAGATTGTTTGCATTTATTGTTCTTTTAAAATTTTTAAGTGAAAATTGGGCCGCGGACCACAATGTTTGAGAAACACTGTTCTATATGACTAATATCGTATGAGAATGACATTTGCTTATATTATAACACATATTATAATATACATATACCATGTTGCTAAGAATGTATAAGTTACCTAATACTTGGCATGTATCGCGTAGGTAACGCGTATTTAAAAATCGTGTCTGACATATTAAATTGAAATTCGTACAATAAAAGAAAAGTATGATTTTTGAATGATTTCGAGTAAAGTTAATTTGTGTAACTAAAATATAATAGAAGTATTTTTAGTAATGTCAATGTTTTGTATAGATAAATGCTTAAAACAGATTTTTCATGTCATGAATGAACTGTAATGTGATAGTATTTTTGTTTACTATTAGAAATAGTTGTTTGTTAATATTATGTGATAATGGAAGCATTTACTTTTAGATTTTACTGAAATCCTCAGATTGATGTTAATTCTGTTTTTTTTGGTTGTATTTGAAAAGGTTCGACGAGTCGGAGGGTGCGAAGATCAGACGAAGAACTGAGAAGAGCTGCAGAATGTATAACGCGAGGTCAGACCTTCCAAACGGTTAGCGATCAATTCAACATCCCCATTTCCACGATACGCTTTTACATGGCCAGGAAAGGAATCCTTCCCCGACGCAAGAGAGGAAGAGCGTGCTCCGGTGCAAGCATGTCCCCATCCATATCCCCCTCCGTGGCAAACTCCTATGGTTCGTCGGGCAACACCAGCCCCATAGGCCCACCTTACCACATCGTCCACTACAAGTTACCCCATCTGGGCGTCTCCAAACTCAAGTAAGAGACACACAGAAACCACCACCAACAACAAAATCAACAACAGCAAAACAAAATTTAACACACTCACACACACCGTGCTGAAAAGAAAGAAAACAAAACCAGAAACAACACTCATTTGCCTATATACATATATATTTTTAATTACTTATTTCTTTTTTTTTCTCTCTTATATCTTAACGGCATGCAACACGATAGGGTCGATACTTTATAAATATATAGAAAGGACAAAACAAACAAAATAATGAAAAAAAAATAAAATAAATCGTGAAATAGTTTTTTAAAAGAGGAAAAAAATAATAATAAAATATAACTAAATATGGAGAGTACAAGTTGTACACTAATAGCTTCCATTATACTTAAGACAATGTATGTCGTTCAACTTGTTGAATCCAAAAAAATATAAAAGTAAATAAATAATAATAATATTGAGAGGACTAGGAGAAAAAGAAAGAACTTGGATGCCTTACAGTAAATTCGGCATTATTTTTATATTGTGCTATAGAAATAAAATATATTTTAAAATATATCAACCTATTTTTTAGTTAATAACGCGAGAGATGATCTTGCGATATATAAAGTAATTGTTTGTACTGATTGTATTGTAAGGGTAGCTCGCATACAGATTTTAGTTTGTATTCAAATTATTTTTGAAATATTAATTCGATATAAACAACAGAGAAAAAAAAAACAAAAGAAGCTTGATTTATATTCCATTTTATTTTGTTATTTTATTATTATTTCTTTATTCGATCACGTTGTTGTGTAGCATTGTCTTAAATATTCGATTTACGTATATATTTTTTTTTTATTGTTCTCACTGTCGAATATTGTATACAAAATATTGTGTTAAAAGAACCTGTGTACGTTTTCCATCGTTTTAATCACGCAACATTTTACTTATTTTATACTCTCTAAATATATTAATTATCGAATGATCTCAATTTAACTTCTTTTTTTTTTAATTATTATTATACGTATTTTAATTTATATATTTTTTTTTATATAAATCGAAAACATAATCGTGTTGAATGTTGAACATGTTCATTTCGTAATAATCATTTTGTCATTCTGGTATTATTTTGTGACTTAGTGATTATTTTATATTTCTGAAATTAATTTCGTGAACCATCGTTTATTATTATTTTTTTAAAAGAATTGTACTTTCTGTGTCCGTCAGTTATTTATTATTATTATTTTTGTGTTTATTTTGTTTAGTTATTTAATATAACGAATTATTAAGTTAGTGTAAACATTGATTATATTTATAGTTTTACATATACGTTGCTGTGCATATATAAAGAGTGAATGGAAAAAAGGAAACTCCCCAAAAAATGATGCCATAATTTAGTTACAAGCTACTTAATTGTATTATATATATAAACTGTGCGATTATGCCGAGCTATAAATGGAAGGAAATAAACTGATGATTTCTTATAAACAAACAAAAAAAAAACATGATATGTGATGTACGATATATAATATGTGTGAAATCGAATGAAAGTATATTGCGTGAGAAAAAAAACTAAAAAAAATCTATGGGAAATCAATAATTAGTCTTCTTAAGTAGTTAAGGGATTACGTGAAGAAAGAAAAGAAAAACTTAGTGATGAAACTAAATGTTTTTTTTTAGAACTGATACATAAATATTTACATATTGCCTCATATGTATGTATATATGTATTTTATGGTAAAAAAATAATATCTGAATTGATGAAACAATATTCAAAAGAAACTAGTCCAAAGTATATAATAGATTATATCCTTAAAACTATTTTTCTAATTATGTAAACGTGTTGCAATTGTTTTTCTCGATTTTTCTCTCTGGAATTTGAAGAAGCGATAGGAAAAAAAAAGAATAAAAGATATTAACAGCTACTGATGATGATGATGATGAAACGTCAAGAAATCGGCGGCGATTTTATGAGCAAAAGAAGAAAGAAAAAAAATAATAATATCAAGGAGTTAAGACTGTCTGATCATCTTCATTTCGATTTTCGTTTATTTTTTTTTGTAATATCATTAATTTATTTTTTAATGTACGTTTTAACGATCACCATTATTTATAATATTAATTATTAGGATTTAACTCTGTCGTTTTTATCGTGACAGGAAGGATGATAATCAATGTTTCTTTCCTTCAAGAAATCTATTATTTCTGTTTGTGTTAACTCGACTGTCATTTAATCAGGATTTGTTTTTTAGTGTCATCCAAGCGTTTGCTTTCAGTTTTTTTTTGTCGAAACCATTTCGCGAATGATTCAAATGGCAGCTCAGTTTCGGGCGTTTACAAAATAAACAAAAAATGATGACTTTGTACGTGAGTTGAACAGGGTGATATTTAAATTCGTGCGCTAGATGCGAGGGTATTAATTATTGGTTAAATTTTATATAAGTATTAGCCCTGTGTAAGAGCGATTTTCCTTTCCTCTGCGTGTGTTTTTTTTTCATTTGAAATTAAATATATTGATTCAATTGTGAGCCGCGAACACCGACACGACGATGATGGAGAATACTGAATTACAACAAAAACAAAAGAAGTATATTAACTAAAACAAAGAATATATATATATAAAAAAAAGGAAGAGAAGGAGAAGATAAAAGATGATGAAAATAACTCGATAAACCGTAATAGAACCGCACATATACCTCATTTAGAAACAGTTTATAAATAAATATAGTTAGTTTCACAAAGTACTAGTTTTTAAGATGAAAAAGAAGTGAATAATAATAATAAAGAAAGATAATACAAAAAATTGAGTTTAATTTAAATTAAAAAGAAATAAATAAATACAGAAATGTTACAGATTGGTGTGGACAAAAGTTGAGAGAGGACGAAAAACAAAAGAAATGATATGAAAATGGTAACGTGTTTTTATTTTATTTTTTTGAGAAGCGGTAGCGTTTAGGATTGATTATTGCTATACGACCCAAGCCTTACGTTTGAGTTCCGATATATAAATATATATATAAATATATTTTTGTTGGGGCCTATAGCGCACTGTTTTAGGAAACAGAGACACCAGTGTTAGGTGCCAGATATATAATTATATTGTAAATGAACAATCGTAATACATAGGGATATATATATTATATATATATTATTATTACATAATGAATACAAGAAGAAGAGAAGATATAAAACAAAAGAATATATATATATAAGAAATATATTTATGCCCAGCCCTCGATTTATATATATTATATATATATACACATTTATAATATGTATGTATAAGATGCAACATTTTGAAACTTCTATGTTTTCCCGCCCCAAAAGTTTTTTGTTTTTTTTCCCGTTTCGTTATCCCGTTCTCATTTGACCCTGTACGTACGTTCTTTGGTTTTTTTTCCGTTCCGTCTGCACAAACCGCAATAAAACTGTTGTAGGCAATTATCTATTTTGTCAAAAGCCAAATTCACCGATTTCAAAATCCAAAGACAAAATAATAACAAAAAAAAAACAATTGTAAAAGTTAAATGCAGAATAGATAATTGCTCAATTTTATTTATCCGTTTACGTTACTACAAATCTTGTAATAAATACAAAGTGTCTTAAGGGAGGAATCTCGCATAGATTAAATATAAATTAAATCGCAAACAAATGACTTTCAGCTTTACAAATGTTATATATTGAAGAATGAGAAAAAAAGAATAATAATAAATGAATATATATATATATTGATGGGAAATAAGAAGTCTCCAAAATGTTTGTTGGCGCGCGCGGAATGAAGAACAGAGAAAGCGATATATAAAAAGGAAGGGAAACACAAGCTTGGTAAGACTAGTATTATATAATGATATATATGAAGAAGAAGAAAAAAAAACGTGAAAATTGAACTGGGGCAAAAAAAATGATAAAAATGAATAAAAAAAAATAATAATAATATGGATTATATAAACTCATGTTAGTTTATAGACTTATGAAACAATATATGTACTCATCGACTTTTGTTTATATGTTGTTTGTTTTTCTTTTTTTTTTGTATTATTTAAGTTACTTCATTTCTCATTATGATATTTTTACACCAAAACAAACTCTTTGTATATTACTGTAATTATTAGTTTTTAAGATTGTTTTATTGATTTTATTTTTTTAGTGTATTATTATTATTATTATTTCGTCTCATTGATGAACCAACACCTTTAGATATAAGTTACCTGCTGACTGTAAATTATATGTAAAGGTGATTTTGATGCCTTAATCAAAAAAAAAAGAACGTGTGATTGTTTCTGATTTAAGTGCTAAGTTTTACTCTCTTTTTTTAAGACATATCTCTATCTGTCTCGGTTCGTTTTTTTTTTATTTTGTTCGTTTACATTTTTTTTTAGCTGTTTTTAGCTACCATCCCCTAGACCCTCCTCCCAATCTATTGTAAAGTACATTATGTGTAAAAGTGCCATTCTATAAAATATTTTTCTAGTAAATAGAGCGCTTATGTCTCGTGACTTAGATATTGTATACAGTATTCTGTCGTAAAATATACAAATATTATATATACAATAGTTTTATTTGCTACAACCCTAATTAATTAAAAATAAATCCTTTTTTTTAATGGAATTATGTGTTTTACCAATTCTTTATGTCTTCTATTTGGTAGGATGTAAGATTTGTTGACAAATTTGCACTTGCGATGAGTAGAATGTATACATTTTTACAATTGCATTAAAAATCCGATATTGCAAAAAAATCGTAAGTCGAGAAGAGATTAGGTACGCTACAAGTGCATCATATTGAAGAAAACCATGATTTAATCGAGGAATTGTTGAACGAGTGCATAAGAATATACCAAACCACATTGTTTCCTGTCTTCGTGGTCACATAGATAAAGTTTCAATTCACCAGAAAACCTACAATCACAATATTGAGTAAGTAATTTAATATTTTTAGCCGATGAACTTTTTTTTAGTTATTACCTCAAAATATTATCCCATTATGATGCGAGTTGGATTCTAATAGTTTTCATAGATGCATGGTAAAATTCCATTGCTGAGCGTTCTCATTACCTCAAGAATGTATTCTATATAATACTTTAAATAGGCGATATATTTAGTACTTATAATGATTAGTAAGAAAATGTACAATGTAAAAATGTTTCAATTAAATACCTAATAAAAATACTTTAGTACAAAAGTACTCAATCAGTTATGAACCAAAACGTTACAAGATTACTACAATTCCATTTGAGAGGCATGTGTAATATAGAAATGCATAAGTTTTTAATTCATACAGAACTATATAAACATAAGTGAAAAGCTGCTGTAACGGATTTTATTTAAATAGGTAACGTTTTTTTGTTGTTGAAATGTACGCAATAGTAACTCGCACCTGCTTTGTCTCTGCACATATTTTAATTAATTTATGTATATTATGTGTTAGGTAGTTATTATTTACTATTTAGGAATAAAATGCAGGTAATTTTTTTCTTCTGATTATAATTAGATACATAATTGTATTTTAATTCATTTCGGATTTTTGATTGTAAATCAAGATGTACAACCTTAAACTTTGATAGAAATATACATATTTATCTATAATTAAGTTTTTATGTACAACATTAAGTACAATTCATGATATAAATATATTTGTAAGAGTAAGAGTACAATTGGACAAATTAAACTCCACTTTATCTAATCCAATCAGACCTTTATTAATTTAAATTGCTATAGAGTAGAAAGAGAATTATAAAGTACTTGTTAAAGTACTTGTTCAGTGCTGAATGCTTTACAATATGGTACATTGATTTTAACATAGGCCAGTTTTATGTAATTCAGTAACGAAAATTGCATAATTCTGATGTTTATGTTCTAGAATGACATATGTCAAACGTAAATAGAATTGCCCGGCTATAACACCTGGAGCAGCAATGATCACCTTAGAAACCTCAAATTAAACTTGCTTCAAAGCAAAAAAAAGCCTCAATCCATGTCTACCTGTGATATTATACCCAAATGAGCTTACTCCTAGATCTGAAATAGTGTTCTCCCCGTGCAACAAGTGGTTGAATTAAAGATGCAAATAACAATACAAGTTGATAATGCTGGTGCTGGAGAGACCCGAAGAAGTTTCTGTGTTAGGTTAAAATCAGTGCTGTGTCATTTGAGCATATTCAATGCAATTACTTTGTTCACATTAGTTTCTATTCTATTGCTAGCTCTGTACCTTTGTAAGACATACATTAGATCTGTGTTGTTCTGGCTAGAGAACCAGGATTCCAGTATTATATCCCTCACAATTATATTTCTATTCACAATAGTTGCCTTGCCAATAAGTGTGGGTTATATTGTGCTGGTAGTTGCAAATGGTTATTTATTTGGTGTTGTGAATGGATTCTGTATGACTGTTGTTGGGGCTAATTTGGGTCTCCTCTTTGCTCACTACATTTTAAAGCTTGTTGCACATCATCACTCTGTGCGCAGGTTGGTTGATAATGAAACAGCAAAGGCAATAATGAGAGTAATCTCAGGTCCTTTGTGCTTCAAAATTGTCCTGTGCTCCAGATTGACACCAATACCATTTGGTTTGCAAAATACGATTTTTGCTGTAAGTTAATACACAATTAATTTATTCTTTAATAATTTGATTTGTTCCATTTCAGTTAAGCAATGTTAGTGGGAAACTTTATCATTTAGCTTCAATGTTTGGGCTTCTGCCTGCACAGATGGTGGGAGTCTATGTAGGATCTACTTTGAGATCCATGCAGGATGTTATAGAAAACAGGAACATATCAACTAGCACTTATATATTCGCTGGTTTACAGGTAAATGATATAATTGTCATAATAATGAAATACTTATTGTTGCTTTTTATAGTTGGCTTTAGGTTGTTCTCTAATGTTTTGGATTGGTACAAAGGCGAGGAAAGAGTTGCTTCGGGTTTTGGCTGAGGGCGAGAATAAATTGACGCCATCCGAGAAAGTCGCTAATTTTGTTTGAATTGCTTTTAATTGTAACCATTACGTCTACCAAAGGATAACTATATTTTATACTATGTAACTTGACTAAATAAATGTCTTATATTTGAAACCATCCTGTGTGCTTATTTGGTTGCATAACATAAACCTTGTTTCATGATGAAATATTGCACTTCTGACAAGACATGTTAGTCCCTTGGGGTTAACATAATGTTATTTTACTACACTCACATAAATGATCAAACGAAATATACTCTGAAAATGAACGTAAACAAGTATTAAATATTCAAGATCCATTTAACATGATCACACATATATTCGAAGAGTTTAGAGTTGCAATAAACATTTTACGAAGTAATTCTCTTCATATTGAAGGGTTGAACAGTAGTAAAAAACATGTTTATATGTATTATAGTTCATAGTTATCTGAAGGTTTATGTCGTGAGATAATGTAGATCAAATATTTGCACAAATTCAAAGAAATTTTATCGGAAATATATTCCTAATTTAATTTTTTTATGCTTTCTATAAATTGAATAAAATGGAAAGAGTTAAATTTCATTATTTATATTCATTAAGAATAATAGAAGAAGATAACATATTTGACACATTGTATATTAATATAAAATACAATTTAACGTTAGCATTAGCAGATTTTGGAATATCGATAATAATTTTGCATGGATGAGTTTATGAAAACGGAGGTCTTACATTGTTGCTTTTATAGCTCGGTATATAATTTATAGATAACTGCAGCTACCGAGGTTTAAGTAGGATTATCATTTTATCTTTGGGGAAATAAACAGAATACACCAGTAAATTGGCAATAAATCTGATCTCCGTAAATCGAGATTTATTGTAATTGTGTTTAGCCGGATTTAGATATTCCTTATTTGCTATTGATTTATATTTAGAAATAATATAGTTAATTATTCAAACTGTATGGTTTATGTGCGTTCTAATGCAACCACTATAAGCTAGGATTTATTCAAACTGCGCTTATAAACACTTTAGTAATACATTATTCAACACGTTTTTTAAAAATGCATTGAATATCACTGTAAATGTGTCCAAATCAATGGACCCAAGAGGAAGATAAAAAATAAGGAATGAATTGAAATTGTTTAATTGAAAGTCATTCAAAAACTATAATTATCTTTTTGAATCTATAAGATAATACAGATCTCTTTGACCCTTTTTCTACCCTTTTCGGGTTTATCGGCCCCACAATTTTTTGTTGCTTTTAGAGGATCGAACCAGCAAACTTTAGTATCGAATTTTCGTGATACAGGCTACTATTTCTAACATTTTGATTTGCTGTAGAATTTGCACAGTGGCGGAACTTTAAATATTTGTCCCCCCTACAAACTATTTAAAATTATTTCTGATAAGCTTTATTTTTTTTTCGCCTGTGTTTTAAATTCGCGAGAAGTCTGGTTCGGATATTTTCTAATTAGCAAGGTATGACTTTATGAGGCTTGGACAACAATTTGAATTTCGGGTACTTGATGGGCCATGAATGTAGTGAGCTTTAGACATAGGAGGAGAGTTAATGTCGGTAACTATAGTAAAGATTTTCAGATTTTAGGGTTTTAAACAAAATTTTCCTATGGGGCCCTTTTTACATCCGGGCGTCATTGCAGTTCCGCCATTGGATTTGCAACAAAAAGAGTTTACTTAAACCTGCGGTTATTATAATTATGAGTTAATAACCAGTTAACGTCTGAAATTAAATGATAATAGACATCCGAATAATGGCTTAGACCAAGTAAATGCGGCATCTAATTGCTTTAGAATTTCGAATTGACAAATATTGCTCTTGGCAAATTACATTATTTAACGTACACGGCATCCACGCGTCTCCAGTTTCCTACCCGAGCAACTCTCGAAGCAATTATAAAAGGATTTTGCATTCAAACTTACATAAGTTATGCACGGTGCAGTGTCAGTAATTTTAAAATCTGTTCGAACTTTACAGGATATTAATTTTGCTCGTGAATAAAGTCTTAACATTTGCTTGCTTAGCAAATGATGTAAATAGATTGTGATATTTATTAGTATAATTAAAAATCTTTTATACACTCTTAATCTGCAGATTTTCATAAAATAATTCATTAATTTAGAATAATCTTTTAAAAATATTAGATATTAAAAAATTAAATAAATCTTTATTACTTCTTCTCTTCCCTATTTTGTCCATTTGCCAGGTGCCCTGTATCATATTATAGTAATGATTCAGATTGTTACTTAATTTCTATAAATTTACATGAAGATTTTAGTAAATTTGCAGAATTTCAGAATGGCTTGATGACTTGTTATGGCTATCAATGATTCAATTAAGTAAGATGTAGGATTTTTATAATGGATCAAAGAGTTTTTAATTTTATGAAGCACATGAAAATCTGTTGCAATGCTCGAAGGATATAAAAGAAGAGTACGGTTGGAAACTCCTGTCAGAAGTCAAAATAAATTGCAGCAAAGGTATTTTTATGCGGAGGTCAAAGAGCACCTCAGGGCGTTTAGGTTTACAGCATTGTTGTCCATTATTAACACCCTCAGGGGTCGCCGCAAAGCGCAGTTATTTAACAGCATCAAAAGAGACCGAAAAATCCTGCGCTGAATTTAAGAACCTTTAAATGTCATACCCAACTCAATCGCAGCACTCTTGAAATTATATACAGTATTTTTACTCGTACAGTGAACCAATTTTCCCCATTTTAGAATCATTTTTCTCGTTATGCGAGGTTTAACTGTATATAAAAACAAAATGACGACTATGAATTGAAAATATTTGCTAGATTTTTTTAAATATATAATCGTTGATATTGTACTTTAGATCAGAGTTTCTCAACCATTTTGTATTTAGTTGTACTATGCCTAGGGTAATCTGACCAATAAAACATTTCGACATGAGGTGGATTTTGTTTCTCTCACACTACTTTATATAAGGGTGTCCCAAAATTAACGCAACATTTGAATTTGCCGTCATTTGTGCAGTAAAGTGTTAGAAACCCAAAAAAAAAACAATTTGACACTTTACTTCAAATGTTGCGTTTATTTTGGGACACCCTTTACAAAGATTCCGAAAAATAGTGTCGTTTGTCACCCTAATTGTGACATAATTGGTATTTTTCTTACCAGATCCTCACTTTGACTGAACTCAATTTCGACATCACTTGGATTTTGTTTCTCTCTCATTGCTTTATATACAAAGGTTCCAAAAATACAATTCGGGGACATATCTAACCAAAAATAAGGACAAATTCCGAAAAAATAGATTCGTCTGTCACCCTAACTCTGACATAACTGCTATTTTTCATACCAGATCCTCACTTTGACAGAACTCAATTTCGACATGACTTGGATTTTGTTTCTCTCTCATTGCTTTATATACAAAGATTCCAAAAATACAATTCGGGGACATATCTAACCAAAATATAAGGACAATAATGGAATATAATAACTGTGACATAATTACTGTTCTTCTAACCGGATCCTCACTTTCACTGAAGATGACAGCTGTCATTTTGGGACAAATTAAAAGTTTAAAGCTACCCATAGGTTAAGAAACGCTTCTTTAGATCAATCATTTTAAATTTTTATCTTACAGCGCATTTGAATCTTTTGTTAATCAAACACAACTAAACTTTGATGATATTTTAATTTTTTATACTGGTTGAAAAACACTGTTTTAGATAATAGATGTACTTGAATATGCAAGAAGAAAGATCACATAAAAATGATTAAATACTTACCGTGATTTTGGATTGAATATGTAAAATTGATAAAAAGATTTGTTTTTATTAGAATGGGTTACTCTTTATTACATTTTGACAAATATATGGTATAACAATGAAACGATTAAAACAAAATGAATGTAATATATATATTTATATTTTTTTTTGTCTATGTAGCGTTTTCGAAAGAAATGCCTTAATTGGTACGTTAGGTTTACCTGTTATTGATTTTTTGATATGTTTGTTAAAATAGACATAAGTAGAGGTGTGTGTACACAGAATAAATCTACTTTCCTTTATATATTATCATTATTATGGTATATACACATACATTAGGTTAGTAAAAAATTACATTTCCATTTGAAAAGGTTCTCTATATAAAAAAAGAGAAAGAAATACACAACGCAAAGCCTATTATAAAAGTAATATAAAACTCAATATAATAATAAAAAAATAATTATACGTTATAAGTATAAGTAGGAAAGAAATATTAAAGAACAGCGTTTCTCAATCTGGATTTGCAAAATGACAGCTGTCACATTGCGTCGAAGCGTCAAAATCTGCATGTCATAAACTACAAATTTTTTGAGAAACGCTGTTGTAGAACACTAAATTTAAATTTGGTGTAAAATTAAAACGAAACTAAAATCTACGATTTGCCTTATTCTATCTGTTATTAGATAAGCCTATAGAATTGCTGTTCTCTCTACGGGTATTAAAACAAATGTTTAGCTTGTTTGTAATATTTAGGGTTTAATTTCGAAGGCTAAATTTAACCTTAGTAATTTAATTTGTAAGGGATTTTCGAAGGGAAAGTTAACTCGACGTTAATTTAATAAACAAACTTGTTATGTCTCATTTTCAAAAATATGATATTAAAATGTATGGGTTCGAGCAAAATAATTTATTTTATTTTAGAAATAAATTTAAATATTGACACCAAATTTAAATGTACATTTTCATACTTAATAATAAAATCGTAAATTGCGAAAACGTCTCAGTCTAGGGTAAAGTAAAGTAAATTAAATGAATATATATGGGTTCAGTCTAAATAAAGGTAAAATAGTTTGTGTGTGTGTGTAGAAGGGGGTAGGAGGCGGGTTTGGGCCGTGTTTCGAGTGTGTAACATGTCGAAATTAAACGAAAATGTAAATGCTGTCCGCTTGACAGGATTTTACTCCGCAGGACTTGTCTGCGTGCTGCTGGACACGGACCCATTTGCCGTGACAATGCGGCGCCGAAAAAGCTGACCATCTGGTGAAGAGTCCGGTCACCCCGTGACCTTGACACCTATATCCGAGGGTTTTTCGCAGGGCCTGAGACTCGCAACGTACGCACACCGTTTCACCTGAAATTAAAATAACATTAGTTAATTATACAAGTTTACATCATAGTTAATAACTATGAAAACAAGAATAAGTTTGGAATTAGGACAAACTCTTTATTAATAGATTCGCCAGTGCAAGAAATATATACATTTTGTTACTAAAAATTTACACTTCTAATAAAAAAAAATTGAATTTTGTTACTAAGAACTATCAAAGTTTACATACTCGTAATGACTATGGAAACAATAATGAGGATGTCTGTACTTCTAAAAATATTAGAAATTAAGTTTTGTTATTAAGAAATATACAAGTTTCCATAGTCGTAATGATTATGTCAATAATTTAGGATAATGTCTTTACTAATGGAATCAGTGACTGTAAAAATTACTTAGATTTATGTAATTTCGAAACTAAATGTTATTAATAAGAAGTATACAAATTTACATAATAATAAGGTTAGGATTAGGTTAAACTATTTATTAATTGAATCGGTGAATGCAGAAACTACTTAAGCATTTTCATTATAGAAAATAAAATTTAAAAAAACATAGGATTTAAAACTGAAATATCTCCTTGAAATATGCTCATTGAATCATTCAATGATAAAAGTATCAATTTACATTATTTTACTAATAAAATCAATCAGTTTTACAAAAAATCTAAATATCAAGTTATTTTTTTTTTAAATAATTGTAATATTTTTATTTTATTTTTCTAAAATTAAAAATTGTAAATAAAAATTTACATTTACTACTTTTTTTTAATCTAATTAAAATAGTCAATAAGAAAATACGTGATGTAAAATGTTTTACTACGTGATATAAACTAACGTTTCTCAACCTTCTTGATCCAACATATTTGTTTACATAGTTGTAGTATTTGTTTGCTTTGACACATAGTGAAAGCTGTCATTTTGTGAACCATTAAAAATTTAACGTGATTCAATTTTTTTTGTCTGCATTCAAGAAACTGTAAATTAATTTCTTTTCAATTTAAACTGATTGCACTGATTGAAATATCTAATTGAGAATATTAATTAAATGTCAAGGAATAATTGAATTTAAGCGTCAAAGTAATTTTATATTTTTAGACATTGAAGAGTTCAATCGATATAGGTGGATGCGCCGGGTCAATTCATTCTTATGTCTTGTAAATTATTAATTAAATTATAATTGCTAACTAATATTAACTATACTTAACAATATAAAATAATCTCAAATACAATTAGATAATTAATTGTTGTTATTAATTATTAATAACAATTAAAAAATGACCTCGATATAGTCGGGATTATGGTTGCCGGGATTTTGATATAGTCGGGATGATGGTTGCCGGGATTTCGATGTAGTCGGGATTTTGATATAGTCGGAATTATGGTTGCCGGGATTTTGATTGACGTTATTTCGGTTGTCGGGCTTGCGATTGCCACCGGATTTAATTACATAATTAAAGCATAAAAACATTAAATAATTAGACTTATTATGTATATTGTTTCCTTCATTCAATAAAACAATATTAAAAGTATATCGATTTGACATAAGGGGACACCTGTCAATTTTTTTATTAATTGAAAGAAACAAATTCAAAATTTCTATAAAAACATCAACATTTATTAATGCTGGTTGTTTTCATAAAATTTTAAGCTGTATATTTAAATAAAACATACTACAGCGACGGTGATCAAAATTAATGGTCTTGTTCATTTAATGAAATTAAAAATCGTGAGATTCTTCAGTGAAATAAATATGTTTTAAATGTTTGATGATTCAAATTGAAATGAATAAAATAATTGCAATCCTTTCGGTTCTGTATGATTGGAAATGGACGTGTAATTGAAGATGAAAGGGAACTTCTGCTCTGGCTCGTTGCTTTCGTGCGTTCGTCACATACTCGATGGCTTTCAAAATCCCTCCGGTTTTTTAAGAGAACATCGTTAACATAATGAGAGTGGGTTTTCACATATGCATGTCGTGTTTGAGAGTGAGTATGCAATATACTTTTTGTGCTCCAATTATTTTTTTTTTCATTTTTATTTATTTAAACGCAAAAAAAATATTCTTATATGCAACGTCATATATTTCCTTATAAAATCACTCAATTTTATAAGAAAAGTTAATATTTATCACGAAATAGAAAACTGAATGAAGTTTTATATACAAGTAAATGGGAAATAGTTTATTTTTTCTAACTTATATAGACGGATTTTTTTAATTTCAGGATAACGGAAAATTTTAAATTAATTTCCCAGACTACCGGCTCTTCATCTAGGAAATATATGTTTATATATTAAGAACAAAAATTCCCGAAACTCGATGATCTTTTATAATTATAATCGAAATTTTCTTTTTGAAACATTATTTTCTACGACATATGAAATAATGCAAATTAATTTATTTTGATGTTCTTATTATATGTTGAAAACACACATTGACAGATTTGAAAACTGTCAAAATTACATTACAATAATCAAATTTGCTATTTGCGATCCGAATCGAAAGCTTAACATTGCAATTATTTCAAATTGTCTACAACAGCGTTTGTCAACCTTTTTGTTGCGAGACCAAATATACTTGTTTGTAGTTGTACTGTTTATACATAGATTTTTTGACACTTTGACTCAAAGTGAGCTGTCATTTCGCAATCCATTAAAAATTGAACGTGTTTCATAAGTTAAGATACAACATAACCATTGATTATTATAATTTATATTAACAATAGAAAGATGAATTATAAAATAAATTGTTGAAAACGATAAAAAGATAAAAATAAGTTGAAATAGTTAATATTTTTGTTTCTATTGTTCTCTCTGATGATATATGAAGTTAACCAGTAAATTTTCTGTTTGTTTTTGTTTTCTCGATACTGCAGCACTTGAGTCTGTTGTATGACGAGTGAGAGAGTATACAAAATATGCAATGCCTAGGATCGCGTTTTCGGATCAGCAAATTTCGAGTGTCGGATGCAATTAAGCAAACTCCCGCTAATTAGATTTCGATAGTTCTCTGCGTGCCATTGAATCCAAGCGCAATAAATTCGCGCAACGTTACGGCCCTTTGAAAACCCACTGTAGCGTGCCACCATAGTACTACGAAAACAACAAAGAGAGAAAGAAAGAAAAAAAAATACACAGTGAACATTCCGATCCGGACGAGCAGGAATAGTAAAAAAAAAGAGCACAACACGAAGCTTGAGTATTTAAGATAGCACGGAATAACGATATTTTTCATCCGACGATTTTTTCCCCCTTCCGGTACGTAGGCACATAAAGTTTCCGGCTTAGTTAATTATTTCGAGGATTGCTGGGAATTGGAATATTTTCTTTGGAGAGAGAGAAGAACGCGAATCACCGGGAACGGAAAGGAAAATCCCGCACGGATTTACTTCTTCCTTCGAAAATTTACTTACCTTCCTTGAGCGCCTCGTAATTGGACTCCTTCTTGCACGCCTTCGACGCCTTCACCACCTGGAATTCAACGCAGTACCTGCAAAAGAAATACAAGAAGAAAAATATATAGAAATAAATAAATAAAGCGGAAAACGTTACGGAATAACGTCGCATCGCAAATTGAAGTAATATCCGTCTATGGATGGAGACTACTATTCCAATTTCAAACACATTTATTACTATTTTTTGTTGTTGTTGTTGTTGTTATACCCTCTTTTTATATTTGTTTGCATTTTCCGCGTGTTCTGAAATTGCCTTCCGTTTTCCTCGAAGTAAATTAAAACTTTATAGTAACGTTGTACAATCGAGCTGTTGTTATTGAATGTGGACATTCGGCGTGTTTGCTTTATCGACGTTCACAGGTCACATCAAGAGAATGAAGCTGTAATTGGGATATTGATCATTTAATTGCTTTCGGTATACGCATATTTATATAGATCAATCGCTTTCGACTCGAACTTATATAAACTATGAAGTTTATTAGCTTTTTAAAGGTAGTGAAAAATGATACAAATTTCCACGAGAAACTTTATATAACTAATAAATCATTCGGTTTCTTTTCGAAAACCAATATACCTTATTTATTGAATCATTTCTGTAAATTATTTTATAAAATTACCCATTCAAACGTAATTTCGTATATAAAAAAATATTTTATAATTATATAATTGAAAAATGACACTTTCTTATTTTGATCATTATAAAATATTCTGTAGATGCTCAAAGTTCGAACAGTTTAATGTTCGAACAATTCGATATTAGAACAAATTGAAACACAATTTTTAAAATTCTCCCGAGTTACGAACAAATTCGATTTACGAATAACCCTTTGGAAGAGAACTAGTTCGTAAGTCCAAGGCATTTTACTGAACAAGCGTTCTATCCTTCCTTTTTTTTTTTAATTATATACATTTTCTTTCAAGTTACGTTACTCAAATTGGCTGATCTTTTTTTCCGATATGTTTCCATATTTATTTCTTCGATTATTTTGGTTACAAACAGTCCTGGAGACTTGCAAAACCGATTACCCGCACTGTGCGAGGTATTTCTGAATGAAAAACTTACAACAACTGAAAGTCCTGTTCATTAATTAATGAAGTTTTTCAAAACTTTGAAACATTAAACTCATCAGATATTTAAAATCTTAACTCTATAAATGCATAAAGAAATAAGAATAAGAAATAAAGAATAAGAATAATATCATTTATTAAGTAACATTAAAATGAGCTTTAAGAGTATTGTTTAATTTTAAATCTATACTAAGAAAAACTACATTTATTTTGATAGTCTTCTAGATCTTCAATCTAGACTGCATTAAACTATTATTTTCTATTAAATTGTAAAGGTGTTGTACATAAATGCGATCGATGCACGACTATTCCGACGTATTGTGTTTGTGAGAAGGGCTTAGATTGATCGCTCGCAAAGGTCTTTGATATCCTGCAATAGATGTAAATATATTATACCAAGTTCGGCACAATGCTACGCGATTCATTTATGGGAGAAGTTGTAAAATCCATTGAAACGCACAGTGCTAACTTTACTTTGATCAAATACAATACACGTTTAGTTTAACAAAGCGATATGTAATAGAGAATATTACTACAAAAATATCACTTTATACACATGAAATATTTCATATCATAAACATTTTATTTTACAGTTTTTTTTTTATAAAATTTGATAAAATTTACTTTTAAAGACAATAATTTTCTCGAAAAACCTTGTAAATGAAAAAAAAAAGTTAAAGTAAATTTTTACTCGAATGGAAACCATATAGCGAAATGAGCTAGAAACACAAACCCTTTGATCCAATAAAATTATTTAAATAAAAAAGTGAAATTGAAATTTATTATGTTTTCCGGGATTTTCTTTTCCTGTAAATTTCTGTCTTATATTTTTCCCAAAAAATACATTTATTTTAAATAAATATTGTTATTATTAATTAATTTATGGGTAGTAAAAAAATCTATAAATTTGAAATTAAATATTGTTTTAACTGAACTAAATTGTTGTTTGTGAGTGGATTTAATGAACTGGTGAAGTGAAAAAGTAGTTCAGGAATATTGAATTGGGTCAATAGCAATTAGCGGACAGGCGGATGCATAAAAAACAAGCCCATTGTTAAAATATTTATAGCATCAACCCCCATTGGTCGTTCGTTATTTTCCGGTGCCGTGTTGTGTGTGTGTGTATTTTGCAGCTCATAAAGAGACCGTCAATTATAATCAAGTTTTGTATGGCTATTTATAAACACATCTTTTAATAATTTACTTCTCTCTATGTTTTTTTTGTTTGTTGGTAAATTGTAATTGAATATTCATTCAATAAACTTAATTTACACCAAATATTTAGACAATTAAATCTGTTTGTTCTTTGCATTACATAACATCATACTGTAATTGTTTCAAAGAACAAATTGATTTATTTTACTTTTAATGTCACTTTTATAAGTATTTATTAAATTCCTTCAAAAACTAACATTATGCTATCTATTTGTGATGTTCTTTCTTGTCAACCCAATATAGATGTTTCTGAAAAACAAAAGTTGTTTTTCAATTTGTTAAAGTGTAACAGTATTTCATGCCAAATTTCAAGAATATTGGAGAAAATGCAAGATTAGTAATGTAAGGTTGGTAGAAATTCCACCACCAACATCAAAAATTTGTTTTGCCATTCTCTACGGATTCGACGTCAACTCAAGCCTATGCAAATTTTCCAGGAATACCAAAATGTATATGGAGTGAATGCACCCTACTTTGTGACTATTTCCAAGTGGTTTCAAAGATTTCAGACCGGACATTTTTCTGTGGAATACAAACCTCGTGAAAGTTGTCCGAAATCTTCGACTGATGATATAAATTGTGAAGACAAACATTGATGAAGATCATAGAGTGACATAGGAAATGGTAGTTGATGAATTGGGCTTGAAGCATGGCAATTATTGAATCATCACTTTGAATGCATGAAGAAATCCGCTCGATGGGTTCCACGATTTTCAAATGACTATCAAATAAAGGCACATGTTCGTTTTGCCGAATATTTCTTGGAAAATTTTGAAAAATTAGATTCTAGCAGTTTTAGTAAAATCGTAACAGGTGATGAATCTTGATTCTATAAGTTTGACCTGGAAACCAGTCCATGGTATGGAGCGCAGAAGGTGCAATTCTCCCTAGTTAAAACAAGACAACAAAAATCAGCAACAAAAATGGTAGCTGCTATCTTACTCGAATCTGGTCAGATGGTAACAGCTAAGTAGAACACAGAAACTTGCTTTTCAAGAAATTGTTGGAAACCAGAAAGAACGGGAACTTCGTTGCTACTTCTTACATCACGATCACGCGCCCACTCACACTACTGAAATAATGAACAACTTCCTTGCGTTCTCTGGCATCAATGAAATTCGCCTATCACCTAATTCTACCGAACTAGCGTCTTGTGATTTCTGGTTGTTTCCAACAATAAAAAAATAGAACGAGTAACGAGTCTTCAGTTCCAAAGAATAGATCATTAAGTTTAAAAGCTCCAAAAAGCCGATTTTGAAGAATGTTTTGACTTAAGAAATAAATGGAAATTATGTAGAGAAATTACAAATATTATAATAAAATTGTTTTTATTTTGTTTATCTAGAAATTGGAGATATTTATGAATGAGATTGAATCATTTTATTCAATTTCACCTAAAAGACTAGTGTATACGTGAATAATTATAAAGAACTTAGATATTTAATATCATCATTGATATCCCACTAAAATAATGTAAATAAAGTAATGTTTATAATCTTGTTCAGGAATTATTTACAAAAATGCAATTGAAATAGAAGAAGAATGGTGGTTGAAAGTTTTGTAGTAAAAATAAAAAGAAACTATAATCCATTAAGTAGTGTATTCCATTACAAATTCAATACGTATTTGAAATTTTACCCGACCGCACAATGGCTTGAGTAGAGCCCATTAAGTTAGTTTGCAGCCAGTTCGAAGTACATACTCCTTCCTCCACATCGAATGTAACTAACTTAGTTAACACTGGAGTTTACCTTAGTCAACGCTCTGCAGATTATTTTACTTTATTTACACGCAAGTGTCCCCAGTCTAAACTGTCATGATATTATCATATTTATACAAAAAAAAACAAAGGTATACATTAATTTTAAATAAGTGATGATTTTGTAATGAAATACATTGTACAAGAGTGTTATATCATTATTTTGTCAACTTTCTTCAAGTGCTGATAGAAAAATTTGATAATTTCTTTTGTTGAAAAATAAAAATTTATAAGCAAATTTTCATGATATTTAATGAAATATTTTGAAATTATTATTTAAATAATTTAATAAAATGTATTACTTCAAATATGACAAAAAAAATGTCATCATCATGAAACATATCATTTTTGTATAAGTTAATTTCCATAAGTAAATATTAAAGATTTTTAACAAAAATCTTCTCAAATTATATGAATTAAATTCGTAATGAACTATTCTGTTTAAGTGTGTTATTTCAATGTTTCTTCTGCATGTACTAGTGGAATGATAAAGTTATTTCAGATGATGAAGTAAATCCAATACTCTGTTTAAATATGTTATTTCAATGTTGCTTATTTATGTACTGGTGAATTAATTAATACATTTAGACAACTTTTATAATTAAATTTACTTAAGTTAATCAGATGTTTGACGAAATCTTCTCAAGTTATTTGACTGCTGAATAAAATTTCAAATGTGTGTTGAATTCATAATGAAATAGTGTCATATTTCAAATATGTTGAAACCTTTGATGTTAGATAATATAAAACAATTCTCAAGTTATTTGAATACTAAATTTCAACTGTGTAGAATTCGCAGTTCTGTATATGAAAAAAGTATTTTAAAAAAATACAGTAATACCTCGCATAGTGTAGTTCGGACTCACTATAGTCTAGTTTGAAAATTTCAAAACAAACTAAATTTTAATTAATAAAAATTATCTGTTTTTCAAGTGTCTTTTTATGCAGTTTATATTTGTATGCATTTAGTTCTTTAATGAGTCTGGTTTCAAA